TCTGAGTGAAAGCTAGGGGGAGCACAGAACAAGACCTTTCACGTGCTTATGTCAGGAAAAGGCCAGAGTTCTAGCCCTCACAAGATTTCTGACTTTTGTGTCTATTCATGGTGGTTGAGATTCCATAGCCATTTACTTAGAAATTGCCTGAGAAAACTCCTGTTTGCTCTCTGGCTGCTGCAATTGCAGAAGTTTTGTTTGTTTTTTTTTTGTTTGTTTGCAATAATAGGCTCTCCATGAATGTAGTGAATGTAGCAATTATGCAGATTTCATTTGGTTGAAACTCTACCAGTACTGGTAGGATTTAGCAGATTGGTTTTTCAGTTGCAGAAATTAGGTTTCCAAATTCCAGAGCTTACATTCAGCAGGATATATACTCTGGTGGAACTGCATCATCTGTGGCACTGGGTGTGGGCGGTCTTCCTTCTTCAGCACTGTCTCCTATGAACAAAATGTGTTCTTGTTGGTTGAGAAATCCTCAGGAACCAGTTTTAGGCAATGGTGAGAGAGGAGACGATACTATCAGTAGTAAAATTCATGGCAATTTGAGGTAAAACCACAATTGCCACTCCTTATCATTGGATCATGCATTCACATATTCAGGAATCCCCCATCCCCCAGTTTGTGTCATTTTATATAAGGGACACTATTTTACTGTCATTGTATACAATGGGACTTTAATATCCAAAGATTTTGGTATCTACAGGAGGTACTAGAACCAAACCCCAGTGAATACCAAGGTCCCACTGCGTGTACCTTGGTATAAATCAAAAGGGTTTATCCAAAAGATTATCATGGGAAGATGTAGGTTAACTGCAAGTAGTTCAGACTATTTTGGTGGTAATTAGAGCAGAATGAATATTCTAGTATTTTCAATTTGCATGGAGGTTGAATTCAAGAACATCTTTTGTCAGCTAATGTTACAATGATAGTATTGTGTGGTGTTGTCTTACTGTTTCTAATGGCATAGGTTAGACAATGAGTATAAATTATTTAGAGGTTACTACATTGTAAGGAAAGTATGTTAGCAATAACTAGGGTTCTTTTATTTCACTGGGATTGAAATTCAGTAGACTATAACCAACACATTGAAATATTGCTCTTGTTTTGCATTTGATGACGAAATGTAACAACATATCGAATTTCTGTTAAACTTTTTATGATTTTGTTTGTTAAACTATAGAGAGAAATGTTCATGGTCAGCACAGCTAGTGAAGTAAGCTTACAAGTGCATGCCTTCCTTCTTGTGTGTTCTCAATTGCAAAACAGGAAACCATGCCTGGAAAGAAATCTGAAACCTTTTCAATTTTTTTCTACAGTCTTGCTGCTTGAAGAGGCATGTTTCACTATTATTCAGTGCCTTAAATGGAACTGTCCTATTTAAAATATATACCGTATTTTTCATAGAAGAATCTGTTTTTGATCTGTATTCAGATCCTAAATACAGATATGTCAGCCCCAGTCACATACATATCGTGGGATTTACCTTAAATAACCATTTATAAGTCTAGAAATTTTAGTTTTAAAAGGTCAGCCAAAAAAACTTGACTTACAGATAATTGTGAGTAGTGTTTGTACATTAATTTATCGAAAAAGGAACCATCCCCTTGTCTGTTCAGAGTGGTGAAAGGCAAGACCATAGCCTGTCCCAGGAGTACCTAAAAGAAGCAGTGACCCATTCTGTTGTTACACTGCCATTTTCTCCTTTCTGCAAATGACCCTCAACGTATCCATGGGTCATATCAAAATCTGTAATTTTGGCCCCAAAATCTCCCCTCCACTTGAGATGAGGTCAATTTATACATGAGTACAGCCAGTCACTGAGTTACAAACATCCAATTTACAAACAACTCATACTTAAGACAACAGGAAGTGAAAGAAATCTAGCCCTCAGAAGGGAAATTCATTCCTGGAAGAGTTATCTTGGGTAAAAGGTGTCTCCACTGAAACTTTATCACTAATCCACAACAAGCCAACATTTTCAAAATCCAGTTATCACAGGGACAGAAAGTGAGGTGACATCTTCTGAACAGGGGCACAGAGAGCAAAACAAACATGACAGGGGTGTTTGTTATCCAGACAGTATCCATGACAGGGGTGTTAGATTCCCTATTCTATCCAAAACATACATGTATGCATGCATATGTATGTATGTATGTAAATAAATATATGTAGATATGGCTGGAGTTACACTTAAAATGTACTTGTTCCAGCTTACATACAAATTCAACTTAGGTTCTGCTGGTTTGTTCTTATCTTGTTCGTAACTTGGGGACTGCCTGTGTATGGTACTCCTAAGTAAAGGAAGTTTGAATTATATCCAGGATACTCAGATTCATAATTAAAATAATAGTGCTAGATGAACAAATTAATGGACTTTTTGAATAAAGAAATTGCCAATATTCTTTGTTCTTTTTGTCTTTGGTTAACTCTCTTCTTTCTCTTCTTTTTCTGTCTTTTGGTTAGGCCTGCTTAGCTTTTGCAAGTCATAGAAAAAAGTGTGTGTTCTTTTTGGGAGGAAATGACGCCACATGTCGTAGTATTTAACATACCTGTTATATGAACATGTATTGTATGTAACGTAGAAGACAGTACTGTGTTATTCATGACAGTTCAAAATGAAAAAATTTGGTTATACAACAGAGCCACATTTGTCCTTGGGTTTTTCTGATTCATTTCTTTCTCTTTTATACATTAGAAACCTACACTTTTTTAAAAAATAATCTTTATTCAGGATTTTATTTTTAAGACATACAATTATAAACAGCTAGACCTTAGACATTCAACAAAAGACAACCAAGGAGTTAGGAAGATAGGGAAAAAAGGGATGGACGGGGGGGGGGAGGGTCAGTGAGGAGGGGAGTAAGGGAGTTGGTGATCCAGGGGGCAGTGCAACAAGGTAACTACACACATGTTACAAAAACATCGATCAACGAATAACAGTCAACAAATGAACTTCCTCTAAGATTCAGCAAGGTTGTACTGAAAACAGAAGGTTAAGTGTCTCTGTGTCGTCTAAGCAACTCCCCTAGTCTCCTAGAGTTATACTTTTCCTCTCTCTTAAGTAATGCCTGAATGGTTGCCAGTCAATCCTGCGTCTCTTGCTGGTATCATATGTCATGGTCGCTAAGGTGTCCATTTCCATTAGATCCCTGATTTTTAATAACCAGGCGTCGATTTTTGGTATCTCATTGGTCTTCCACTTGCTAGCGAGCACTATTCTGGCGGCTGCTGAAAAATGAAACAACAACATGTCTTTGTTAAGATCTAGCTGAAAATCTAACAGGTGTAACAGAAAATACTCCGCTTTAAACTCCATTTTTATCTGCAAGATCCTCTGGACTTCCCTGTGCACCTCCTGCCAGTAGCTCCTAACTCTTTTGCACTGCCACCATGCGTGATAATGGGAGCCCAATTGATCGCCGCACTTCCAACAGTCACTGTTCATTCCTTTGTGGAATTTTGCCATCTTCTGGGGTGTTAGATACCACCGATGGAAGACTTTTTGCCAGTTTTCTAGTATATTGGCGGATTTTGCAAATTTTAGTTTTTCCTTCCATATGGTCTCCCACTCACTGAGGAGAATGGAGTGCCCCAAATCGGCTGGCCAGCTGGTCATATTCTCCTTTACAACTTCCAGTTCAGTTTCCCACTCCAGCAGCTTCCCATACAGTGCTCTGACCACTTTTTTATCCCTTCCCATTATCGTTTCCCACAGTGACTCTTGTGAGGAGAAGTCTTTTTTCCTGTCTTCCTTGAAGCAGTCGGTTATTTGCATATAATGGAACCAGGAGAGCTTCTCATCTATTTCTCTCAATGAGTCTAAGGATTTCAATTTCCATTGGCCTTCTCTTCTTTCCAGTAGTGTTTTGTAGGTGTGCCATCTTTCATTTGGTATTTCCCTTTTATGTGCGGCTTCAGAAACCTACACTTTTGATTTTAAACAACCACAGGTCTGAACCAATTCTGAACCTGTGAGTTATTTAAACTCAGATTAGGATAAATCAGAATCAAGTCCCATGTATATCTAGGATTATTTTTATTAACATGTAAATGAAGAGAATTTTGTTTGCATGTCTGTGTACCTGAACACCTTTATTTTTAACTAGTGTTTTTACCTGATTTGGCCACGGTGGTCCACGCTTTGGTTACATCCCGTTTAGACTACTGCAATGCTCTCTACGTGGGGTTGCCTCTGAAGACTGCCCGGAAGCTGCAGCTAGTCCAACGCTCGGCAGCCAGACTACTAACGGGTGCTGGGTACAGGGAGCACACCACTCCGCTGTTACACCAGCTCCACTGGCTGCCAATTAGCTTCCGAGCACAATTCAAAGTGCTGGTGTTAACCTATAAAGCCCTAAACGACTCCGGCCCTGTTTACCTCTCCGAACGTATTCTCCCCTATGAACCATCAAGATTATTAAGATCGTCTGGAGAGGCCCTGCTCTTGGTCCCACCGGCCTCGCAAGCACGTCTGGTGGGGACGAGGGACAGGGCCTTCTCGGTGGTGGCCCCTCGACTCTGGAACTCTCTCCCACTGGAGATCAGAACCTCCCCTTCTATCCTGACATTTAGGAAACAGGTGAAGACTTGGTTATGGAGACAGGCATTCGACGAGTGAGCCAACACCCTGAGATATGGATGGAGGATGATGAGCAATGATTTTAGTGTGACGACTGACCATTGTAGTTATTGAATGTAATTGCTGTTTTAATGTTTTACTGTAATATGAACTATGATGTTTCATTGATTGTATGTGATATTATGGTTGGAAACTGGTCTGAGTCCCTCAAGAGAGGTGAGAAGATCGGTATACCAAACTTTTAAATAAATAAAAAATAAATACCTTCATTGTAGTTCAGAAAAATATGAATTGGGTATTCTTTGGGTATCATATTCTACATGTTTTTAAAATATAATACTTTGATCAAGCTCTAACAGAAATTCAATTAGAACTTTTTTACATGAATATCTTTGATTTAATGTATCTTATATTTCAGACTGTAAATGGATACATCCTGTTTTTTAATCTTCCATCTTCAGGAGAAAAGTACCTTTATGAGCCAGTTTATCCCAAGTAAGTCTTGCCTTACATTGTTCATTTCAATTTATTGTACAGTGCAGTTTGTTGTTTTCTCATTGAAAGAATACTAAGAACTATATCAAATACCTTCTTTGGTGCTTTGATTTATAATTAGGGATATTGTTGCTGAACCTGGAGTTGGGCAAATGAAGCTGAACATGTATTTAATCAGGAAAGACATTCAGATGTTGAAGCCATGCTTTTGTATAGGGCCATACAAAATTATATCTGAGGTGTATCTTTTTAGTGGAATTTCAGAAAGTATTAGATTACTAAATTCAATTATACAATTTTTGCAAACAAGTCAGTACTACAATGCAACCTTTTTTGTTCACATGAGTAAGAGTATATATGTATATCCAGATTTCCCCCTGTGAACTACCCGTATATAAGACGACTGGGCGTATAAGACTTTTCCAGTTAAAATATAGAGTTAAGACGACTCCCATGCATAAGTCTACACCCGCGTATAAGACGACACCTGACTTTTGAGAAGATTTTCTTGGGTTAAAAAGTAGTCTTATATGCCAGAATATACTGTAGCTATAATCTCTAGGGAATGCATATGTTCACTGGTCTGAGATTCTGTCCCCCGCTTCTATCCCCAGACGGAGTATTGCTACTCAGATCTTGTTCTGGATTCTTATCTGTAAAGATTTTAATCTGAGGCCATTGTCTTGTTTCTTCTATTTTCAATGGTCAGGGGGTAAACACAAAGTCACAGGTTTTCTGATAGACCAAAATTGTCAACTTTTTGTTATCCTTTAAGTGCTTGATTTTTTTTTCATTTGTTTATGATTCTGAAAATGCTACAGAAACATAGGAAGTTATTTCCTTTGGGTTTAAGTACTCTTTCACCTCATAACAAGTAAATCCTGGATAGAAAAGTGCCTCCAGTTTTATTTAATAAAATGAGTGTATCTCTGTTGACAAAGGTTTGGAAACTGATGGAGAGGTAATAAATAATAAATTGTTGTTATAATGACTCTAAGCAGAAACAACTGACTTAATGTCAAAATTGAAGGCGTATACTTTGAAAGCAATTACAGTTTTGTCAGGCCAAGTATATTTATTGAAATATTTTATGAGCCCTTTAAAATCAACAAGATAGTAATTTGCCCCTGGAAGCCCCCGGAGGTACAGTGGGTTAAAGTGCTAAACTGCTGAACTTGCTGACAAAAAAGTCGGCGGTTAGAATCCAGGGAGCATGGTGAACTCCTGCTGTTTGCCCCAGCTTCTGCCAACTTAACAGTTGGAAAATATGCAAATGTGAGTAGATCAATAGGTACCACTTCTGCGGGAAGGTAACAGCACTCCATTCAGTCATATCGGCCACATGACCTTGGAGCCATCTACTGACAAGCTGGATCTTTGGCTTAGAAATGGAGATGAGCACCACCCCCTAGAGTCAGGCACGACTAGACTTAATGTCAGGGAAAACCTTTAACTATCTAAAGTAATTTGAGAAAAATTTAAAATCTTTAAATATTCAAGTTTAAATAAACCCCACAATCCAGTAGACAAAAAAAAGCTAACTATAATCCCACCAAGTCCTTTTACTTGGTGCCAAACAAGAATATTCCACAACTAGAACACCAAGTAGAGAAATTTATCTCTTATACATGTTTCACTACTATCTATGATAGTAGTGAATCATGCATAGGCTGATCTTAATAGATAATAGGAAGCAGTTTTTACTCAAATATCATCCCAGATGGTTTAGTGCTTTGAAAGTTACCACCAGCATCTTGAATTACATATTAGTATAATTCACAAGGAGCGCCTGCATATTTTGCTTTAAAACCAAGCACTGAATGTGAAGCAAACTAATTGGAACACATTTTTTTCTTTATTGCTATTTTTTCACATCATATTCTTTGATAGTTACTGTAAGTCTCTCCCTTTGAAATGAATTTATTTAAATGGAACACTACGACCATGTTATTGAGTCACTGTGATGTTAACACATGCCAAATTGAGGAAGAGTCCAATCTTTTGTAGTGCAGCATGTACTGCAAATTTGGCAAATACACAAGATATTCTTTGCTCATCCTTATATCTGTGTTCTAGCATTTTGTGATTGTATTGTTTTCTCTCTCTTTAAAAAAACTTCTGAATTTCGTTTTATTTGCTTCTTCTGAAGTATACATTTTCCTTTTAAGAAAACATGGCAAGGAAACTGAAGTCAATATTTCCATCTGTTCTTTACAGATGGGATGATATTCCTTCATAATCAAAAATAAATTTACAAAAAGATTGCACAACAGCAGACTTTTAGTCAGGGATGCTTTGATCAATCATTTGGAAAGACTTGATGTAGAAATTGGGTTTGTGGGGTATTATAAAACACTTCATGTTCGTCCTTAAAGATTTGTCAATGCATTGCTCTACTGTATATATTGGAGTAAAGTTGGAGAATAAATAGCAATTGGTACTTGAGTGGGCCAAGACTATAGGTTGCACTGCTCCAACTGCTCAGTCTTCCATTTCACAGTCGAACTTTGCATACTATCAGTGTTTGACCTTAAGCCATGTTCTGGGATGCATTCCCCAAGTGCACGCATAAAAAGTACAACTCAGTTTTCAGCTAAATCTTTATTGTGATGAAAATGATTACATTGTAGTAAAGACACTGAATGAAAGCAGCATTTAAAGCTAATTTTAAAAGCACGGAAACATATAAGCAGCAGGAATGCTAATTTGGCATTTAGTGTAACCCTCAGCTTTGGTAAAAATGATTATATCAGGCATGTGAATAATGCAATGACTGGTGTCCTGTAAATGCACTGTAAATGCACTGTATAACATGTGCATAAGTTTCTTTTTGGATAGGATGAAGAGGGCCATTTTCCTGTCCTTGCTCTCCAACCAGAAACACTTATGCCTCATTAGTTGTCAAGCTCTAGGAAGGACTGCTGTTGCTCCTTGTTAGCAGAGGAAAGGGAGATGAAAATCGAGCTCTTGCAAGCTCCTGGGGCAGAGGTCCTCAAAGTTTTTAAAGAGAGGGCCAGTTCATGGTTTTGTAGACTGTTGGGGGTCAGACTATAGTTTGAAAAATACATGAACAAATTCCTATGCACACTGCACATACCTAATTTGTAGTGCAAAAAATTATGAAAGAACCATACAATATTTAAAATGAAGAACAGTTCCAGCCAGCATATACTTACCAGTATTTCAATGGGTCTGCTTTTGGTTGATGCGATAGTCAAGTTAATTATGATTGTTGACGTTGTGTGCCTTTAAGTTGTTTCCCTAAGTCTAAAGTTTAGAGCTGGGGCTGGGTAAATGATCTTGAAACACTGCATCCAGGCCGCCGGCCTTAGTTTGGAGAACCCTGTCCAATTGGAAGGAAAAGGAAGATATCTAAGAGTGCTCTGTCACCCCCCCCCCCCCCCCCCCCCCCCCGCTCCAGTTAGATATAGGCCAGCTGCTTCTCAATGATCTGAATTGTTTCCTCACTACTTACCTTCCTCCCTGTTAAGCAACAGCAGCAGAAAAACTTCCTGAGGGTCGTAAGCTGACAGACAGTGCATGTCCAGAACTATACACATATGTAGGATCTCAGCCAATATATGTATCCCAGTTTCTAAATAAATACAATTTGGAAAAATTATTCAGATATGCAGTTATGTCAAGAGATTTATTATGGTTTGAATCCTTATGATTATTATGAACAGCACCTCAGAAGTATGGAAAGAGCTCTTGTAGTACCTTAGAATAACAAGTTGATAACATAAGCTTTTGCAGGTGAGTGCTTCCTCAGAGGCATCACTCATTAGGTTGAGTGTACTGTGTATGAGAGCTTATGCTACCAACTTTGTTCTCACAGTTAGTCTGAAATGCACAAGATCTCTTTGCATGCTAATATTCTAGTCTAACATGGCTATGTCTTCGAATTCTGCCACCTTTGAAGATGATGAGTTCACCTTCCTTGGAAGGTTTTGAACAGAATCTGAATATCACCCAGTGTTGCTTTAGTTATAGTTTTCTCTGTTGATGGGGATGAACCAGATGACTCTTGATACCCCTTACAATTCTGCAAATTCTATGATTCTGTATTCATGTCCCAGATGTGCAATGGAATCAGAATTTCTATAGATGACAGAAATTTAGAACGTTAGCAAGATTATTTTTGCATGCTGTGGACCTCCAGCTTTCTAGAATAAGGTAAAGACTTTTCTCTTTACCCATTTTCCCCTCTATCAGACAGTGATAAGAAGTGATGGCAGTAACTCAGAGTTCAGACAGAAGTGTAGGAAGTGCTGACGTGGTAGCACAGATGAAGAATTCCTTCCTGGTTTTGTCACCAATACACAGTTGTAGTTTAAAGGTCAAAGCAGTTGGAATACAGAAACAGGCTCACAAGGGTATGTGCTGCATCTAACCACTTTGAATTATAAACACCTTCCAATGTACCACATACCTCTCTTTCAGTTATTGCTACTAAGGCAAGAGAAATACTAATTGAGGGATTCTCCTTTCTAAATGTTGGCATGGTTCTTGCTTGCTTAGAATCTACAGGTGGAGGGGACGGGACTGCATTCAAGTATTATTAGAGATCTGTGTCAGAAAATGCTGGTAATTTAAAGCACTATCTAGATTTCTAATTTAAGATACACACACACACATACATAGAAACATGCCATCTTCAAAATTCAGCAGTCAAAATACAAGTATTTTCCCCCAATCCCACCACCTTCTCCCCCCCCCCCCTTAAACCTCTAAGATTTTTTTTTAAAAAATAAGGTGTTTTAGAAAGAAGATTGAATAAGTGGAGGATGAGGGAGCAAGTTTGTTTTCTGCTGCCCTGGAGAGTAGGACACAGAATAATGACTTTAACTACAGGAAAGGAGATTCTACCTGAACATTAGGAAGAACTTCCTAACTGAGAGATGTTCAACAGTGGAACTCTCTGCCCCCAAGTGTGATGGAAGCTTCTTTGGAGGCTTTAAACAGAGGCTGGATGGCTATCTGTCAGGAGTGCTTTGAATGCAATTTTCCTGCTTCTTGGCAGGGGGTTGGACTGGATGGCCCACGAGGTCTCTTCCAGCTCTATGATTCTATAAATTCCACGCTGGAAGAGGGATGGTTATGAGTAAGTCATGAAATAATGCTGGATATAGCTGCATCCATGGTTATTAGGTTCAGATATGGCATTGAGACTGCATTTGTGGTGCTGAGTTTCTGAGTCTTTAAATTGGTAATGTAGGGTGTAAAAGTCAGAATAGCCTTTTCTATTAATGTAGAATGAAATAGCTCACAACCTCTGAGACCTCACAACCTCTGAGGATGCCTGCCATGGATGCAGGCAAAACGTCAGAACAGAATGCTTCTAGAACATGGCCACACAGCCCGAAAAACCTACAACAATCTAATAAAACAGCTTCTCCTTCTTTGCTGCAGCATCACATTCCTGGCTCATGTTCAACTTACTGTTTAAGATGATGAGTACTTAAGCCTTCTACTAGTATTATCTAGTGCATTATCAACTCACTTCAAGTTAAACTTTGTTCTAGTTCAACAACAGACTAAAAGAACTTAGTAATGTTTCACACTGAAGCCCCCCTTTTTAATGGTGTTTTGGATTTTGTCTTTAAAGAGGAAGCCCCCATATGAAGGGAACACCACACTATAAGGAAGAACAGTGTGCTCCATTATTAAATCTAGAGAAAAAGCAAGTGTTGGATTTGCAAGCATCTATAACCAGGTATTTAAACATCATTATTTATTTTTGTTGCTATCTTTTTATTTATGCCCTCCCAACCTCTCACTACTGGGATCCAACTAGGTTAAATATAGGTGCATATATGAAAACACAGAAAAATATAATGCAAACAAATATATTATCATAGTAAAACAACAACGAAATTCAAAGCAATTTCTCCCCCAAAATGGAGAAGTATAGTAGTCTCATTATAAAAGCTCCTTCCTTAGCTGCCAGTCAGGTGCTGAAAACCTGTTTGAATGACAGGGTGTGATTGCTGGCTGAAGTACAACAAAGAGAGGACCATCCTGACATTCCCTGTAAGGACCTTCCATAACCTGGAAGTAGCTGTTGATAAGGTCCTCTTTCATGCTCATGAGGCAGACCTGTACATTCGCTTTCAGTACCAAGGTACAATGCATGATCCTAAATAAGGAAGATACAAAGCAACCCTCAAGGCACTAAGAACATTGAGAGCTGCAGTAATATTAAATAGGAACAAAGAAGGCTGCCTTACTTCAAAGAGTACTCTTTGACATTTTGAAGAATCCAATTATTTTTCTTCAAGAGACAGGGCTTCTGTGAAGACAACAGAGAGAAGGCAAATTTAATCTTTTTCCACTGCCTTTCTCCTGAGAGTTAGAGAACCCCCTGGATCGCATTGGGGGGGGGGGGGGGGGGGGGGGGGGGGAGCGCACAGGGCGACAGGAATGAAACCGTATTGTGGCTGCATGTTGCATAGATTGAGTTTTCTCTCTTTCTCTTCAACCCATAGTGAGTACTGTGACTTTTTTCTAGTTTACAGTCAATGCTGGATGATTATCTCCTAGTTGCTACTGCAGATGGTCTTCTCCATCTTATTCACTGGGATGGAATGACGAATGGAAGAAAAGCCATAAACCTCTGCACAGTACCATTTTCTGTGGATCTGCATTCTTCTAGAGGTACTTTTGTAGGGATGGAGGGAATTCTACATTCAGGAATGTGTGTGTGTTCTATGCACATAGATGGTTCCAATTTTTTTTTATTTGACAGAAATAGAAATGAGGATTGTCAAAATGTGCAATATGACAATAGTAATTTTTAATACTTGACCCCTTTTATTACAGGTTCATTTTTGGGATTTGAAGATGTGCACATTAAAGATATGGAGTACTGTGCTACTCTTGATGGCTTTGCTGTTGTATTTAATGATGGAAGAGTGGGTTTTATTACTCCAATGTCAAGTGGTTTCACAGCAGAGGTATGATTTCCTAGTTCAGCTTTTTGCTTACATTTTCCCAACGGATAGAACATCTCCACCCCTACTATTGACTGTTTGTTACTAATGGGCTGTGTCTGGGAAATGTCTCATACACTTAAACTTGCTCAAGAAAATATGCTCAGGAAGGTTTTAAGGAAAATGTCCACAATAAAATTAGTGTCTTCTCCTGTCATTGTTCTTAGTTTTGTGAATTTACTCCCCTTGCCATTTTGCTGAAAATAACCAAAGAACACATACCCCTAGATGAAATATCACATATGTAAAATGTTTTCTGATGCACTCCCAAACTATTTTAGGTTTTGCCATAGAGAATGGTTTTTCAAAACCAGGAGTGACTTTCAGATAAGCACTGGAGAAACTGCAATCTCATTTCTTATTTTAATGTATTAATCATTATAAAACATGTAAACAACTTCCCACCCCCTGTTATATACAAATTATTCAGGGTCCAAATTCTGGCCTATGGCTGGCTTCAAATTCAGGGAGAACTCATGATGTTTGCTGACTCCTGGACTTTCAGAAGTTGTCCCTGGTACAATAGGACCCAAAAATTGGAATATTGGACCTTCATATTGATATATACCATTGATCTCAGCAATGAAACTGACACAATTGTACATCTGTAAATCCTTTAGCTAGTTTTCTAGGATCTCCTTTTCTCTCGCTCCAGACAGTCTACCCCCTTCCAGTGGCACCCATTAATCCGCTTTGTATCATTTGTGTAGAGAGCAGTTGGGAGACTGTTATGAAGAGAAAAGAGATTTCATTTCTGTCAGATCTATTTTATATAGAGAGATGGGGGTGGGGGGGTGGGTGGGATGTTTGCTTAAATGTAGAAATAAGTAACTAATGTAGTAGACAGCAAATTAAGATTTCTTATGTCCCGGATTTGAGGAAACGTGTAATACATTCAGATACGATTTAATTATGCAGGATTTCTTTTGAAAGGATCTTGCATATCACATCCTTAGTATTGTTTATCTTCAGAAAAAGTACACACTAGGCGTGGCTTCCAGTTGTCACACAGATTGTACAAAATGGAAAATGTGATAAAGAAAATCCTTTGCAATATGTCTTCTAGCAGCTCCATGGTGTTTGGGCACAAGATGTTTTGGATGGAACCTGTGTGGCTGTAAACAATAAATACAGATTGATGGCGTTTGGATGTGCAAAGTAAGTTTTATATCTTTGAATTTGGATTTGGTTTCGATTTAGCAGTACACCTTGCTTAATCTATACTGAAAGTTTCTGAATTCCTGTTTAGGAGTTATTCTAGGACAATACTATTTTATTCTTTAAAGAATAGTATGTCTTGGAAGAACTATATCTTAGGATACAGTTATTAATGAAAGAAGCACCTTGCAAATCACACATAAGATTGGGAACAAATATTTAGGATTTTCCCCTGAAGTATATTTTGTCTTGAAGTGTGTGAGACGGCCTTTTGTGATTGTTCGTGAGACATCATATTTTTTCTCTTTGTGCTATCCTGCTCTACCCAAACTTGGAAGAAATCTTATCAGCAATACAATTTGAGAGTTAAGTTGCTATGCATCACTCAGAGAAGTAAACTCTCTCCTCTCCATTTTATGGTTAGAATGCTTCATTCACACCTAGCTGATAAAGAATCATAACATTCCATTAAAAGGGAATAAGTAAATTTAGATATATACCAGCAGTTCATACCCATTGAAAAAACCTCATTGCAAGTGGATAATTTGACTTTTTGAGTTTCTAAAGTCTTGATAACTTAGTAAATATAAAAACAATATGATTCACAAAATTGATATCAAATCATTTAAGTTATTTGATGAGAAGTTCTGTTGAACAGTATTTTCACATTGTATTACAAGAAAATATAATCTAGAAAAATGGAGAAACAGCAAATGAGTCAGTTTTTTCTTCCTGCTTTAGTACTTCATACTTTTCATTGTATAAATGGTTTACCATTATTTTCCCCTAATTTTCACTATTAAAAGAATAGAGACTTGAAAATCTCAGCTCACATGAATAGTACAGCATGGTTTGACATGCCAGAACTTGTGTGTCACTGATATAATGTTTAGAATAGACCTGTGGAGAAGAGAGATGTTTCTAAAAGCCGAGACACTAACCCTGAAGCATTATGATGGTATGTACAATTTACAATTCTATAATCACCCTTCCCTAGTCTATTGATCTCCAGATGTTTTCAGCTGTAAATACCATCAGCCACATCTCATATGATTAATGGTAAAAAGAGTTGAACAATTGCTGGGGACTAGGTTGGGGAAAGCTTCCTAATGGCATTTCTAATAACACAGATGGATATAATTAATATTGTTTTTCTGTGTTTCTGTGAAGTTAGTGTAGATACTTTTGTGCCTGAAAATATTTATAAATGTACGGAAGGCAATACAGGAAATCTGGAACATACAAGCCTTCTGTCACCCCTCAAAATGGGATGGAAGGTGATTATTCAGTAATGAAATGAAAGGAAATGGCAAAATATTCATTGAATGGTCTGAAGATGCAGGAAAATTTGAATATTTCCCTGAGGAATAAGCAAGATTTGAGGAGGGGAAGTCTAATATTGGACAGAATTACACTCCACTTTATTTGATCTGTAAATACTGAATGCCTGAGGGGAGAGACTCACATACCTGTATTGAGTTTTAAAAGATTTTATTTGCTTTCAGTCTTAATAGCTGAGAGAACAGCAACATGAGTTATGATATCTATCTATATATATAATAAAAGTCAAAACTTGTATGCGGCGGATGTGTGGCGGTGTATGTGCCGGCTTTCTGATTGGCCAGCCTGAAAGTTCCAAGATTCTGACTGGCTGCTGCTGTGGTGCTATTTGCATATGGTCCCTGATTGGCCTGCTTCAACAGGAGCCCCTGGTGGAGAAAAGGGTTCATGACAGAAACGGGGACATGACAGAAGGAAATTTGCATATGGTCTCTGATTGGCCAGCCTCAATTTCAAGATTCCGAGATGACAAAGAGAGGAAAGGAAAGGCCAGGGGCTGTCAGAAAATTACCAATACAGACCACACTTTGCAAACAGAGCACACAAGACCCACTCGACATCCTACTGCAGTTTGGAGGAGGATGAACCATGGATGATGGGACTTGCAGTACCATCACTCACATTCTCAGACCGCTGTTAACCTCATCCAATGACTGATCAGGACCAAACTTGGCACATAGACCTCTCATGACCCACTTTACGTCCTGGTGTGGTTTGGCTGGGGATGGACCATGGATTATGGGACTTGCAGTACCTTTGCTCAATTCCTGAGACCACTGCAACCCTCATCCAATTACCGATAAAGACCAAACTTGGCACACTGAGTCTCCATGATGCACTCTACATCCTGGTGCAGTTTGGAGGAGGATGCACCATGGACGATGGGGCTTGCAATACCTGCACTCCCTTCCTACGACCATTACAACTGCCAACAATGATGGGTCAGGACCACAATTTACACAGAGAGCCTGCATGACCCATTCTACATCCTGGTGCGGTTTGGAATAATTTGTCAATGCATGATGGGACTTGCAGTCACTGCACTCACTTCCTGGGACCACTGAGACCCTCGCCAATCACTGATCAAGACCAAACTTGGCACACAAAGTCTCCATGACCCACTCTACATCTTGGTGCAGTTTGGAGGAGGACAGACCATGGATGATGGGACTTCAAGTACCTCCACTCCTTCTGAAACCACTGCAACCCTCATCCAATGACTGATCAAGACCAAACTTGGCACACAGAGCCCCCATGACCCACTCTATATCCTGCTGCAGTTTGGAGGAGGGTGGACCATGGATGATGGGACTTGCAGTACCTTCACTCAATTACTGAAACCACTGCGACCCTCATCCAATGACTGATCAAGACCAAACTTGGCACACAGAGCCCCCATGACCCACTCTATATCCTGCTGCTGTTTGGAGGAGGGTGACCATGGATGATGGGACTTCAAGTACCTTGACTCACTTCCTGAAAACAATGCAACCATCATCCAATGACCAATAAAGACCAAACTTGGCATAGAGAACCTCCATTACCCACTTTCTCTAATAACCCGGGCAGCGCCGGGTCCCCAAGCTAGTATCAATATAAATCTGATGGTCTACAATCAAAGTAGTTGTAATTTCTAATTCACCCATCTAATTTTTTTCAACCGAATAAAACATCAAATGTTTTTTTTTTTATCTGATTCTGGCTTTGTTTTCAAAATTAAAGAAATTCTTCCAAGATAGAAAATGGTAATGGTTAATTAAAGCATTGCCGGAAGAAATCGTTTATGAGTACATTCTTTACTTATAAGGTTGTAGTTACTTTTATTGAAAAGTGCATTCTGAGTTACAGAATCTGCCAGTGACCTTTGGCTCCCATGTTTATTCTGTCTTAGTAGTTTCATTTCAAATTAATTTTGTTTTATACTAGTTCAGATTTACAGCTGAAGCTTGGTTTTAAGTACTGGGAGCAAACATTGTATGTCTCCTTCTCCTGAGGAAATTCGCATTTTCATTTGCCCAGTTTCAATGTTGTGTGACAATATTCAGTGTCTAAAATAAATTTTGGAATTCAGATTGCAGTTCTTGAATCTGGCTGTGCTTTTATCTGTTGACAAGGCATGACTTTCAGTTGTAGATTAGATTTTCCTTTTGTCCTAGCTTTTTCCCCCAGTTTGGGGACTAAAATATGTTTGTCTCTCCTAATGCCTTGATTAACTGTGCTGGAAACAGGGTAGAGGAATGTATTTATACAGCTGAATTGATTCATGGCTTTTAATTACCTATTGGTTATATTATCCTTCTGGATAATTTGTTGATAGATTGTTTGGAAGTTTTTCAAAGACTTAATTTTTCCATTGGAAGACCTATTGAGGAATTTTACCCAATGTCTTGGAATAATTTTCCTGATCTTTAGCTCATATCCCAGTTGTGTCAATTCCTGTAACAGTTAAATCTAGTCATGAGCATACCTACAATATTACACTGGTTTAGTCTTATTAGGAGTCTGTATACAACCTCTGACCAGAACCTTTTGTCTAATGAAGAATACAGTCATTAGGATTTTAACATGTGTCTAGTTTGGGAATCATCTATCTCCCTGGCTGCACTAGATATACTTGTTGCTAGTTTGTTTTCAGACATAGGTCTAAAAAGGATCCTCGCTGCAAGTCAGTCTGCCCTCAAATATAATCCAGGTATATCCCTTGCACATTGTGGTGGTTAATGAGGGGACATTTTTCCACTGAGTCACCGTGTACATATAGTAGAATGTCCTGCTCCAGAAGGTTGTGTTTTCTTCTGCTTTTCCTGAAGTATTATTGTCTCCCACCACTAAGCTATTGGTTCTAGCTTAGTGGTGGGAGCTGCTTTTTAAAATGTTTGAGATGGTTTTATTTCAGTGATGATAATTGTTTTTTGTGGGGGGTTTTTTGCCCTGGCTGAGCCAGTTAGAGCACTTCCATGTTAGAGAAGGAAATGGGATAGAAACAAATAAATGCATAAACAAGCAAGATACCTTAACATTATTGTTTATTAATAATATTCTGCTGAGTTCAGTAGAATTCTGGTAGTCTTATACAGAGGATACATTTTCCTTAACTTTTCGCTAATGTAATCTTTGCCCATAAACTAATATCGTGATTTGGAATTTGAATTTTAAATGCCTGCTTGTCTGCCTTGATTGGAATCTATACATTTCTAATGATTAACAAACTATTCTTTTGCAGTGGTTCAGTGCAAGTTTATACAATAGATAATGCTTCAGGGGCCATGCAGCTGTCTCATAAACTGGAGCTAACACCCAAACAGTATCCTGGTAAGCCAAATCCCATGAAAACTGGGATATAGTTTGGTATTGCTTTTTGGGATAATTCCATATATCAAGTTAATGATCAGACAAATAGAGCCACTGTCGTAAATACTGCATCATCTGTCCAGTATCAAGATAAGTGGAGATCTTAACATATATGTTTCAAGTAATAGCCAGTATAAATGGAAAACTTGCTTCAGGGCTAAGATGTTCACTGCATTAAGGCCACTGTGTTCTTTCCTTCCCTTTGACATTTTTTTTACAGTTTGTGAATGAACAATAGACATTCAAAGAAAAACAAAACAAGCCAGAGTAATTTAAAATACAGATCTTCATCTGTTATTGTTGTGTCCCTTCAACTTGTGGTTTATGGTGATACAGTCTACATTTATTTTGTCATTGTAAACATGATTAAAATATTCAATATTGCCATAGAATGCAAGAAGAGCTATTTTTCAGTATGCCCGGTCTAAATCTATACGTTTGCAAAATAATTAATTTTAACAATTTATTCAACATGGATACAAAATTAATTTATTGATCTTATTTGTCTTCAAAGTATACATAAAGTGTCTTGTTATCAGGAGGAAAAAAATGTACCTAGCACTGCTGTTCTTAAATCAAGCATACCATTCCAATCTCTTTCTACTCTTTGGGCCAGTGTGCTGACTAAGGGTGGATTACATAAATCAATGATGCCCAGGAGGCAGCTGCAAACTGCTAGAACTGTTCCAAGTGCCTTTACTAACCTGAAAGGAATTGTGGCAGGGATCCAGCAAATCTCTAGAACTGAACCAAGAGCTTGCTGATATCCAGTAGTAAGATGTGTTGCTTCTTTTGAACTGGTGATTCCTGTACCATATTGCACACTATTTTTTAAATAATCTTTCTTATGAAAGATTGGAAAGGGGCTACAGTGCAAAATCAAGCCCCAAAGGGAGCCTATCAGATGTAGCTTTCTCCCTTTCTTTTAAGAATTCTGTTCTATAGACTCAACTCTTATAAATACACATAGTCTTCAAACACTTTAATCATACATGTGTTCTAGTTATTTAATTAAAAACATGTTTGAGAACCAGCATGGTGTAGTAGTTTATATTTTGGAGTAGAGCGGTGAGAAACCACCATTAGTCTGAAATGATTTGAAGGCACACAATGAAAACAGTAACAAAGAAATGTTTAAACAAAAACTAAAGTTTGACAAAATCGGAATTGTAGTATGATAGTTATATCAGGGCTTTTTAAACTGTGAGTCTGAACACCAAATGGGATCCCCTTAGCTCAATGTTGGGGATCCTGAAAAAGTTTTCTGAACATCACCTACTGGTTGTTTTAGACATTAACACAAATCTTTTGTGCATTTTTTACAGCTGTGCTTCATAAAAAAGAACATCTGCCTGTTTAGAAAGCCTTGCAAATGACAATTTGCTTTCAGTAAATGTTTGATTTCTATTCCTAGTCTATATTCATACACATCTGGGGGCAAGTAAAAAATTCCCAGGCCAAAAGAGATCCCGAGTGGAAAAGTTTAAGAAGCCCTGGTTTATAATACTTCCTTTTAGTATTTTTAACTATTTAGTTACGGCAGCCAAACCATTGATGTATAATGCCAAATACACCTGCTTTTGTCTTACATTTATATCTGGCACAATGGAGTGCAGTATAGATGCTGATGTGAAGCTTTCTTACATCCCTTGCTTAAGTATGTTAATGGGCATTTACAGCCAGCTTGGGGGCATTCATTGAGGCAGAGGCATATCTGTGCTTACACTCATGCCTCCTCCTGCCATTCAGCTCAGTGAAGCTATGCATGCTTAAGAATATGAATCATTTTTGAAAAAGGCAAGAAAGATAACATGATGGGCATTAGGCGGTCATGCATCTCTCCTATTCAGTCTGTTGACAGCCAGTGTTGCCTGTGTGCAGCTGTGACCATGGGGGAAGAGATGAGGTTGTTGAGTTCATGGGACTCTTCATCTATACCTTCAGCAGATTATATTGTGCCCTTTGAGTATGAATAATTGATATGGAAATAGTGCCCTCCTTAAAGATGGATCAGTTGGAGATCTTCAACAGGAAAGTCATGAGGCTTCTTCCAACTCTGTAATTTTGTGGTCAAAGAACTATGGCAAGCTTTATGACTGTTTTTTGTTTTTGCTTTTTAAATAGACGTTTGGAACAAAACTGGAGCTGTTAAACTGATCAGATGGTCCCCTGATAACTGTGTTGTTATGGTGACCTGGGAGTGTGGAGGTCTTTCCTTATGGAGTGTATTTGGTGCCCAGCTTATCTGTACTCTCGGAGGAGACTTTGCGTAAGTATTTTAAACATAGTACTAGTATTTTTAAACTTGGGAACTATAGCAAAGTGTTTCAGCTGCTGGTCAGTTAAGCACGAAGCACAATGGCTGCAGTTTATCTAATGAGATGTGTCCTAACAACCATTTAACAGAAGTTTTTTTTTAAGTGGACTAGTAATTTAACATTACAATATGTTAGGCTTCATTTGTTTCTATTACAATAGCCCCTTTAATGCTTCCAAAAAATGAACTCTTTGCCAAATTATCGAGAGATTGCTTTCTTCTCAGTATGGGGCCCAAATTGGTTACTGTCTTAATGAAACTTGCTATGAGGCCCAACTACAAAACCAGTCTGAACTTTGCTGCATTTCCTATATTGGCTATATTTCTAAACATTATGCTTCAATCCCATCTTACACTTAATGTCTTGGAGCATCTTTTACCAGTGTTATTCCAAGATTTCACCATTTTTCACCTCATCAACTACCTCTACTTGATTGTGCTTTTTCGTCTTTGGAAGGAGAAATACTTTGTCACCTGTTGTTGGAAGGTATAGGTCTCCTAGATTTTTACATGCTTTTCCTACTTTTTAGGCACAGAATGGTCATGTATTTGTGACAACAGTTGCTGTTAGGAAAGTTACAGTCGGCACACATTGTTTTTAAATCTTGATTGATCATGGAAAACAAATGATCACCACACTAGTTGGTTTTATGTGTATGCGTGCATACGTGCAGGGAAGGTTGTATCTGCATGTTTAGCATTATATCAAGAAAATAAAGTTTTTTTGTTTGTTTGTTTTTTGCAGCAGGACTTTGTTATCAGTTTAATGTGTCTGAGTCAAAAAGATGGGATTTGGAATTAAGGGGAAAAATCTAATTGTCATTAGTATACCTTTGTGTTTACAAAAATATAATGGGTGTTTTTCAATTTCTAGGGAAATAGTGTTATTGGGGCAGTCACAATGGAACTTTTTTCCCCTTCCACTCCATGCCACCTAAAGCATCAGTTCTAGTTTCTCAGCACCCCTCCTCCTCAGCTGTTTTGGGGGCACACAAACACATAGAGTGGATAAGAGGATGGTTTCCCTCCTTCCAATTCTGCTGGATCCCATTCTTCCATCAGTGCTGAATCCTACCTCTAGTTTGTATCTCCTTTTCAATGTAGTCTTACTGTTTTTTGTTTGTTTGTTTGTTTTACATGTTTTGTGTTAGACATCGTTCTGATGGTACCAAAAAAGACCCTCTAAAGATCAGCTCTATGGTAAGCATAGTTAAATCTATCTTTTGCACATGAATGTACAAGACAAACAAATAATTTAATCTGAATTTTACTCAATGTATCCCAACATTATCTTAATGTTTTAATTATAAAATATTGAGTTTTCAAATTGTTTCCATTTATTTAGCCAAGGGAAAACAAAGTCTTGCCATAGAGTAGTGGTGCAAAGTTTTACATCTTGGCACCGTCTTGAAAGTTTTTTCTTTCACTAAAAGAATGGGGTGATGAGGTCCCTAATTGGGTGAGCTAATGGTGAAGCAGAGCTTTTTGGTTTATTACAATATTTTGATGATTGTTTTCAATATGTAGTTCCAGTTTGGCTACCTATTAACAATTTCACTAATTAATTATTCTGTAAAAAGAAATTGTTCATGGAAGAATATAGTTTTTGTTTTCTATGGCAAGACTTGGTATCAATTTCCTTTTATGCACAATGACTAAAGCATAAGGTCAAAAAGCAACATTTTGGCCAAAATCCTGTATCAAGGTGGCATGATATAAATCTCTTCATATAGAATCACGTGTTGATGAAGCTATACAGCCCTTGTATTGAAACAGTACTGCATGCACTGTTCCACTCCAGCAGCCATGGACCTCATGTGGGTATTCTGCTTCAGACAAAAGTAACATAGGGAATTTATACATCTGTAAAACACCTACATATTCAGCTATTGTGAAATGTTCTTATCAAAAAGGAGAACATTAATTAAGGTTTTAAGAGGATTTCTCTAAAGGGAAAGATTTTATCTAAGTGTCAGGTTTCCTTTCCAGTACTGAGGAAGCTGTTCAGCTGAAAACTGCACAAGCCTGGGCAGCTCCAGAATGGAATACGTCATTCCAAAATGAGCACATACTTGCAGAGATTGAGATAGATTGGGATAATTATGAGACAATCTTGTTTTCTGTACCATAAATTAGGGTTCAGTCTTAAATGCCTTGTAGCTAATAACATTCTTAAAACTCATATATAAGCATATGGACAGGCTTCTTGGGCTAGATAGAATGTCTTTTTAAACATATATATATATATACACACACACACACTTGCTAATTCTATTCGGCAGCTTACGTTTAATGAGATTTATAGCTCATGCATTTTATATGAATTTAACTGTTGAATACTGTAGTCTCACACTTCTTATGAACTATTTGTTTGAGTAAAGTGGTCGAACTTTACCCTATCACTGTACCCTATCCTGGATACCATTCAGACTACATGAGGTTAAATCCATTATAGTCCTGAGTAGTGTAGACTAACTATCTGTGTTGACTTTGGGTTGTGCAATCACCTATTGTTATGTGAACTCTAGGCCATTGAAGTCACAGTTATTAAGGGTAAGGATACAAAAACGGTGGGAAAGGGCAGCAAGAAAATCACAATCTATTGTTTCCCACAAACCCATATTGCAGGGTGAATATCCCTTACTCAAAATTCTTGGGATCAGAAGTGATTGGGATTTTTTCAGATTTTGGAATGCCTATATTTAAATATTCAAACATAGTGAGGTATCTTGGAGAGGGGACTCAAGTCTGTTTCATATGCAGTTTACACCCATAGCCTCAAGGTAATTTCTACAAGGTTTTTAATAATATTGTGCGTGAAACAAAGTTTGTGTACATTGAACAATCAGAAAATTAAAAAGCCATTATCTCAGCCACTCATGTGGACAGTTGTAGATTTTGAAGTATTTTGAATTGCAGAATTCCAGATTAGGGACATTCAATCTGTAGTATAATATTTTAAGGGCATTATAAGATAGTTTGTACTAAGTTGCAATTTGTTATAGAGTGGTTTGTTTCTGATGCACTCAGTAGTTTCAAATAATTTATTAACGCTTTTTATTATTATTTTCTAGAGTTGGGGATCAGAAGGCTATCATTTATGGGTGATTGATGCTAATAGCTTTAGCAATTCAGTAACCGAGAGCAAGTGCAAAAATGAGTCTCAGCGGTGTGGTATTTTGCAGTTTCAATTCATCAAAAGTGCACTCACAGTTAATCCTTGCATAGTAAGTATTTATGCATCTGTTATAGTTCTACATCTCTTTTAATGTTCGTTTGGCTAGGTTTTGGCCTAATTCTGATCACAAAATAGTTTTGTCGAAGGCTTTCATGGCTGGAATCACTAGGTTCTTGTGGGTTTTTTCGGGCTATAGAGCCATGTTCTAGAGGCATTTCTCCTGACGTTTCGCCTGCATCTATGGCAAGCATCCTCAGAGGTTGTGAGGTCTGTTGGAAGTAGGAAAAATGGGTTTATATATCTGTGGAATGGCTGGGGTGGGGCAAGGAGCTCTTCCCTGCTGCAGTTAGGTGTGAATGTTTAGCTGATCACCTTCATTAGCATTTTAAGGCCCAGGCCTTCACATGCTAATGAAGGTGATCAGCTAAACATTCACACCTAACTGCAGCAGGGAAGAGCTCCTTGCCCCACCCCAGCCATTCACAGATATATAAACCCATTTTTCCTACTTCCAACAGACCTCACACCTCTGAGGATGCTTGCCATAGATGCAGGCGAAACGTCAGGAGAAATGCCTCTAGAACATGGCTCTATAGCCCGAAAAAACCCACAAGAACCTACAAAATAGTTTATTTTTCTATTGCCTTGCAAACTCATTGACGTAAGTCTGTCAAAACTGAAACTGGTACCATTTAAAAACAAGTTTCCTTTGTAGTTCAGTTTGGCTTATTTCATTTTAATTGAAGTTGTATCTTTTTTTTTACTGTTTCCTGACTATTTGCAGAGTATTGAATGTATTTATTTATCCATAGAGCAACCAGGAGCAAGTCCTCCTTCAGGGAGAAGATCGCTTGTACTTGAACTGCGGAGATGCCATACAGGCTCAGAATCCCAGATGCTCCTCAGCACATTCTGAACATAAGGCACTCAGAGGCCAGTTTTCAGATGGAAGTGTCGATTCTCAGGGTTTAAGCACTTTATTAGGGCACAGACATTGGCATGTTGTGCAGGTAACTTCCTTTTTTCAGCATACTATTACTGCTTGTGTTTTGTTCCATCTGTGTCTGTATATTACTGTGTAATACAGTGAGGTAAGAGATTCAATTTTGGTGGTGCTTGAGGGATTTAGAGACCACAAAATGGCTTTGAAGGGGCTGTACTTTCTTCATTCTTACCCTAGTGAAATCATTCATCTCACTCCATTCAGATGCAGCCAAGATTTTATATGTTCAGTGGAGGTTTGAGTAAGCAGCAATAACACAAATGCTTACTTCCAAGCCAAGTTGGAGCCTTCATTTCATCATAGTATTCAATTTATCAAGACAATAATTACATTAAGTATTCGTACCAGTAGAAATGAGTATTTTGGAGCCTGAAGTATCACACTTAAAAACAGAATTAGTTTACATAGTTGAATATCTTCAAATTAGAAATATATATATTTGCATTTCAAATAGTGTGGAATTTGGATGAAATACAGAAAGATTTGAAAGAAGAAAACCACTTATTTTTATTAATGCTTTTTTTGTTTGCTTTTTTAAAAGATTCAGAGTACCTACTTAGAGATCAATTGGCCTATAAGGGTGAGTTGTTTTTTAAACTTGTTCTTTTACAGCTGTATACTGTATGTAATATAAACATTAAACTTTATAGAAATGAAGGGATTTTTTTTGTCGTGTCAGGAGTGACTGCAAGTCGCTACTGGTGTGAGAGAATTGGCCGCATGTAAGGACGTTGCCCAGGGGACGCTTGGAGGATTTTGATGTTTTTATCATCCTTGCGGGAGGCTTCTCTCATGTCCCCGCATGAGGAGCTGGAGCTGATAGAGGGAGCTCATCCGCCTCTCCCTGGATTCGAACCTGCGACCTGTCGGTCTTCAGTCCTGCCGGCACAGGGGTTTAACCCTTTGTGCCACCGAGGGTTCCTTATGAAGGGAAATGAAGCTTTAATACTGCAGAACATTAGCCAGAAATCTTGTTGGGATGATATAGTCACGTGAAAATAATTGTACAAGGGACTGCACAATCCCTAATGTAGCCTTTCATTTTGCAAACATACATACAGGTAGGTCCCTCTTGCTCACAGGGAGCTAATAGGCTGTTGCTCTCAGACCTGTGGTGCTGTTATTCCTTGTGCATCTATGGGATCTATTATAGCTTGGCATATATTTACATGGCACTTCTACGGATCTTGATCATTATTTGGATTAAACAGGGAAGCTGCTAACCTCATATTTCAGATTTTCTGGTAAGAAACTCTGACATACTTCTTTTCTTTTCCACACAAACAGCTTTCAGCCATCGATAAGATGGGGCAGAATGTAGCCGTAGTTGGCAAGTCTGGTTTTGCACATTACTCCTTGCTTTCCAAAAAATGGAAACTGTTCGGAAACATTACCCAGGTAAGTAGTTGTACTTGGCTGAAGAAGGAGTAATGTTTGAAATTTTATTTTGCCAATATATATGATGAAAGATAATGTTCTAGATATACTGATTCTTGTGTGTCTGTTTTGTTTTATTTTATTTGAATCCTAGTTTGAGTGGAAAGATGGGGTATGTAAAATGATGGTGATAGTAATATTATTGGTTGGAATGCTGTATTGCTGTTGTGCATTCATAACCTAGATTTAGGAATCTGTAAATGCTCCGTATTCAGTGAGGCTATATAAATCCTGCCTCCCCCATTGAGTGAAGAATATCTGCTAATTCAAGTGCAACAAGCTGAAATTAAATCCAGACAAGACAAAGGGACCCCTGGTCAGTTGAAAGGTGGATCAGGGCGTGGGATTACAGCCTGGATGGGGTTGCACTCCCCCTGAAGACACAGGTTCGCAGTGTTGGGGTAATCCTGGACTCATTGCTGACCCTGGAACCCCAGGTGTCAGTGATGGCCAAGAGCGCCTTCGCACAGTTAAAACTTGTGTGCCAGTTCCACCCATACCTTGAGATGCCTGACTTGGCCATGGTAGTCCACGCCTTAGTCACATCCCGTTTGGACTACTGCAATGCTCTCTACATGGAGCTGTCTTTTAAGATAGTTCAGAAGCTAAAATTAGTTCAGAGATCAGCAGCCAGTTTACTAACTGGGGCTCCATACAGGGAGACAACTACTCCCATGTTGCGGCAGCTCCACTGGCTACCGATTCGCTTCCGAGCTAAATACAAAGTGCTGGCTGTTACCTATAAAGCCCTAAACGGTTTTGGTCCAGGCTATTTGTCAAATCGCTTCTCCCTATATAGGCCATCTTGGGCACTGTGGACAGTGTAGGAGGCCGTGCTCTTGGTCCCACTGCCTTCACAAGTGCAGTTGGTGGGAACGAGAGAGGGGGGCTTCTCCGTTTTCACTCCCCGTCTCTAGAATTCCCTCTCTAAAGAAATGAAAACAGCTCCTACCCTCTTCTCCATAAAAAAACCTCTTAAAACCGTACTTTGGTATTGGGGTGGGGGTGGGGGGGACTAAGATACTTTAGATCAATATAATTGGAATGCTGGTTGACTTGTACTCCGTGGCCAGTATGGTATATTTTATAGAACAACTATAGCAGCCAGTGCTCACCTATTTTAATTGTTATTACTTTGATAGTTGTTTTAATGTTGATTATATTTTTAATGTTTCATGTTTTTGTGATTATTTGTATCCTGTTTCTTATTTTGATGTTTAAGTCTTTTATGCAATTAGCTCACTGTTGTCATTATTTGTATTTGCTGTTTTGCTTTCCTGTAATTGCACTTGCTTGAGCATTGAATGTTTGCCTTTTTGTGTGTAAACTGCCCTGAATACCCTCAGGGAGATAGGGCGGACTATGAATGAATGAATGAATGAATGAATAAATGAATAAATAAATAAATAAATAAAATAATATTATTATAAAGAGGATGGCAGAACCCCCATCACAATTCCTCATTGCTGGTTGATGGGGGCTAGAGACATACTCCTACTTGTGTGCTTAACATTAAATAGACTCTAGTTTCTTAGATATGGTTATCATGGTTTTCTGTGGGTGAGCATATGGCAACTAGAGCTGATAGGGGAAATTGGTGCCATTTTTGGAATGAGCAGGTCAAATATACTCCGAAACAGGGTGAACATTTGTGTTATCCAGTGCAATAATTCCTTTGTTTAAAGGTGTGTCTACCAGTAAAATTTACGGCCTTACGAGCAGGTAGTTCCTTTATCCATAAATGACTACAAATAATTTTTACAGTTTGAAGAGCAGGTCAAACTACTGTGTATGTTTCTTAATAATACAAATGGTCACCTGCTTAAGAAAAAGGGTGGTTTTATCCTAAACAAAATGTGCATGGAAGCCTCCCTTTCCCACTTTACTTTTCTATGGTCTGCTTCTCTAAGCCTCTAAACATGGCTTCCACTAGGAATGATCTGACAGGATGAAAACTACTTAAAGTAGTGAGGTCACTTCTTCCACATGCTGCATTCAGTATAAAAAATGAAATCTTAGCATGTCCTTGCTGGAGAGCCAAACAGATGGATGTAATTCAACTCTTTCTCAGGTAGCATCACACTCTCTACTTACTGTGGTTGTAGTGAAACTAGAATAATGCTTCCTTAGAGACAACCCATTTGTTTTGAATGCCAGAGGTCCCAAATCTGGCATCTCCAGATAAAAAGTTCAGATAGCAAATGCTATGAAAGATCCTTGCACTGAGATTCTGTTGTAGCAGACTAGATGGACGCAACACAACACAGTTTTTTATGCTGATTAGTTTGGCTCCTTTTTATTGGGTGCAACAGGGAGAGATATGAGATAAACAGTAAAGGAAGTTTGTGTCATGTTTTAAAATTAGTGTTTATTTTATAAAGTGTCCTTACATTATCATTATCCTGTTGTTAAATAGCAATGCAGTAATCAACATAATTTACAGAAAAACTCTAAAGCTTGCATAATCTCTTCAGTGTTCATGAATTTACTACTGGGGTTTTTTAATTGGTTTATTCCTGACTCTTTTTTTACTCATAGGAACAAAATATGACAGTGACTGGTGGCTTAGCTTGGTGGAATGATTTCATTGTTGTTGCGTGTTATAATTTAAGTGATTGCCAAGAAGAGGTAAGACATAAGTCTTTGAAACAATTGTCATGACCATGAAGTTCTTGTAGAAAATTGTGTCCTCAGATTTCAGCCATTTAAGGTTTATTGTTTTCCTTCTTTGTGCAAACCTCTTGGACTCACTAGTGTCACAAAAAAAAATCTATGGGTTTTTTAAAATGGTTACTAGCATATTTTTCCCCTGAATAATATGAATTAATTAATATGTTAAAATTAAAGTGCCCCATGGTATTTTCAAACAAAACCAGCAGAGGGAAGCAGACTTTTTCTGATGCTGTCTTTTTTGCTTTTGGTTGTATCTTTTACTGCCCAATTAAGACAGACTTTGGCAAAATATTAAAAAAAGTTCCAAAAGCCATTAATGTAAGTTTTTTTTTAAAAAAAGAAGCCTGAATTAAATGTATCTCTGTCTGCAGCTTGCAACTACTTTTATTCACAGAATAATGTGCCAGTAGAAAATATTCTTGTCCTTTACCTTGGGCAGGGGAGGGGAAGCAATCACACTTTCCTAGGAAAAATTTTCTTTCTTTTCCTTACTGATTCCAAAGAGAATAATTAGAATAATTAGAAGAGAAGAATGAAGAGAAAATGTAATTCTGGGATCTGTCTTAACAGTATGAGTTTTAGGGATTAAAGTCTACCTCTGTAGATTTTATTCCCTAAAAACTCATACTGTTAAGACAGATCCCAGAATTATATTTTCTGTCCTCCCCATTTGTGACTTTGACTTTGATTTGATTATTTTCTAATTTTATATGTTCTCTCTAGGAATAACTAGGTCCTCCAGAGTGATTGTAGAGTTGCATTGGAGGACCTATAAAGTCCTAGAGAGAACACATCTCTCGGAAAGCCTTAGTAATTCAGGGTGAGCTAAACAACCACCCCTTGCTGATCAGACTGTAAATCATGTAGGTTTCTCATTTGTGTGTGATTTGATAATTTCATCCATTTTCTTCCAATAGATTCATAGTCACTAGCATTCAATTAATAATACTCATTACTGATGCTTGTTTTATTTTTATTTTTTCCAGCTAAGGGTGTATTTGCGAACAGCCAATCTGGACAATGCATTTGCTCATATCACCAAAGTGCAGGCAGAAACATTATTGCTTAGTGTCTTTCGGGACATAGTAATTTTGTTTAGAGCTGACTGCTCTATTTGCCTTTATAGTATTAAAAGAAAATCTGACGGGTGAGTCTAGTATGGATCGGTCATTTTAATAATTTACTTTCTTCATTGTGTTTAATTTGTGTGTATAAGTCAAGAAAATGAAAGAGGGGATAAAATCTTTTCTGTGGAGTCTTACAAAATGAGAACAACACATGAATAGAATTCTGCTTGTGCAATGGGATGTCACCTTTCTTGTCTCTTCCTAAATTGTCATTGCCCTTCCATGATTTTTTTCCAGAGGTTGTCAAATTTTGGGAGCATATTTAGGGATATAAAGCAGGGCTTTGGCGGACAAGAAATGTGTTAAAATAGCAATGTGCTGCTGGGATGTGGAGAAAGTTGGAGACAACTCCACAATTAACAATGTATATCTATGTATTTGTGGCCACTTCTGTAATTATGTGACATTAACCTGTATTGGTTCCTAAATTGTGAGTCCCAAAGAAGACGACATTACCCATGTCAATTAGTTTTTTTCCTTGTTCTACGGCTAAGACAAAAAAAGTCAAATTGTGGTTAATACTAGATACCTTTTTGTATTTCCTTATTTTCTGCTAGAGGGGAATTGTCTAAAATATTAAATGCATCTGTGTTGATGGTCTTTTAAGGAATGTTTTATTGGAAAATTATTATCTGAAGTCATATTAATTGATACCTTAAATTAATATAGGCCCTCTAAATTCAACAGATGGCTGCTGTGAAAATTTTCCCAACAAATCATCATTATTGCTTTTTTTTCCAGTCCTAACCCTACTACCAGTATTCAGGTTCTTCAGGAAGTATCCATGTCACGTTATATTCCTCATCCCTTCCTTGTTGTTTCTGTTACTTTGACCTCTGTGAGAACAGAGACAGGCATCAGCTTCAAACTGCCACAGCAGGTATGTAAAAATACAGTTTTTAAAAGAATTATAAATCTTGCGGAGTAAATTTCAGATGCTTCCTGAAAACAGTACACTGCCCAAGTAAATACCGTGTGTTTTGAAATTGCTGAAAGTTAGAAGTGGGGATTGAAGGGTAGATGGAGGAATTCAGAACCATGTGATTGCCTTCTGTGCTGTATGTAATTTTCACAAACAGTATTTATGCAGTTTCTTGTGTACTAAATCTGGCTAGGCAGATAATCACATAAAGAGCAGCTGATAGAGAAAGCAAGCACCCTTGTTTCTGTGAAAACAAGGCTTTTATTAAGTTGTCTTTAATAACATTAAACACTGGTCATAGGAAATTAATTGCTAGTGATTTCAAAACACAAGATACTCAGGGAGGCTACTGTTTTCAAGAAACATTGGTCAACCTGGTTTGTGTGGTAATTAATATGTGTTTTAAACCACTCTTGGATCTGGTAGCCTTGTGAAATTGTTTGTCCTCTTCATACGCAAGTTAATTATGTGTGCATAATTAACACTGATTCTCTTGCACATTTCAGCAGGTTTATGCACTATTGAACATAATATATTTGTTGATTGGGTTATAACACTGAAGAATGGAGGCGGGTTTTTAATGGATTTTAACTGTGATTTTTAAAATAATATTTATATTTAATTCTGTTTTAATGTTTGCATATTTGTATACTTTAAATTGTATGCGAGTCTCCTTCGGGAGAGATAAAATGGGGTATAAATAAATATAATAGTAATAATAGCTTTGGGGAGGTGCCCCCCACCCCCCAGGGAGGGTAGGTTCTAGAAAGTGTAATTTAAAAGTAGCACAGTTTTCTGTGCAAGTTACCTTGTGCACCTCCTTGGGATTTAAACATTGTACTTCATGATTCTTATGATGGCCCAGCTCTATTTCTCCTTTTCATCAAATGTAGGTGAAACAGTAAGTTCTTAAATTCTAGTCTGATCAGCTGTGATCTGGATGAGTGTGCCTGAACTTAGGCATAGTAATACAAGTTGAGTATTTCTTAGCTAGAATTTCAAAATTCAGAATGCCCTATACACTCATGTATAGGACTAGAAATTTCAGTTAAGAAATCAATCCAAAAAAACTGGATCAGTATATCCATAAGTCAGTGTGAGTGCTGTACCTGAACTCTCATTAAAAAAGGAACCATCTCCTTCTCTGACTAGATTGGCAAAAGGGAAGAGCTTAGTTCATCCTAGGAAAACTTAAAAGAAACAGTTATTCTTTGTGCCATCTCATTGAATGTCTGGACAGGGAAATGTCAGTAGCCATCAGGGACTACTGATCTCCTCCTGCCCCTCCGGTCCATCATTATTGGTTCTTTCCTCTCTTTGTGGAATGTCCCCCAATTTGTCCATGGGTCATATCAAAATTCATCATTTCAGCCCCAAAAGCTGCCATTGTACATCTTGTACATCTATGGTACTCAAAATTTGTCTACATGAGAGATTTAAGATGGTGACACCTTTCCTTTCTGATAGTTCAGTGCACAGAAACTTTGTGCACAAAATTGTTTAAAAATATTGAGTAGAAAATTGCCTTCAGGATATGTGTATAAGATTTATATGAAACATAAAATGAATGTAATGTTTCCATCTCCAACATCTCTCATTATGTATATGTAAGTACTATATTCCAAATTCTGTTTCAGATAAGAGATACTCAACCTGGACTGTAGATTTAGAAAAAATAATATAGCCTTTTCTTTCCATTAGGCCTGTGAAGCAGAGAGCATTATGTTAAACTTAGCAGGACAGTTAATTATGGTACAAAGGGATCGATCCGGCCTACAGATTCGAGAAAAGGAAAGTAGTCCTAACCAAAGGAAACTGGTGAGTTAATTTGAAAATAATGCTATATCTTTTCTCTACTCTTCAAAAGTGGTCGCGATGAGCTGTGTAGTTGAGATGTGTTGATGATTGCAACTAATTACTGAGGCATCTGGCACTATAAATTTTGCACTTATTTGACTTATTTACAAAGCAGTTTTTAAATAGTATGTTTTAAGTGCAGATTCTCACAGATTTGTAAAGTGTAGCATGTGTTTACCTAACTGCAATCACTTTCAGTGTAGCTTGACTGATGAAATAGAGCTGACAAATTAATATAAATATTGATCGGCTGGGTGTTAACTGTTATGTAAAACATGTAGTCACTTGCGTATTTTCATGAAGTAGAAATAGGCCTTATCATATTGTTTTAGCCCTATACAAAAGGTTTGTAGACATCAGCTTTGTAGAACTTGACATGCTATCCTTATGTATCCACTTGAATGTTAACAGTTAGGTGAAGGATAATAGATAAAAGACTATGGCGTTTATAGGTTGTTGTTAAATAGCAGTGTGGAAATTACTTTGAAATAACAGAAGAAGAAAAACTATAGTGAAAGGGTATCTGAGTTAACTTGTGATGTAACACTTGATATTTACGGAAGGGAGGAGAGAAGGGAATGATGGATGGCTTGTCATGGCTTACACAGAATTTTTTTAATCACTTGTATAAAAATATGGAAGAAAAGATGATAATTAACTTGTGTTTGTATTTTTAGCTGCCATTTTGTACTCCAGTTGTTCTTGCCCAATCTGTTGAAAATGTTTGGACTACATGCCGTTCCAATAAGCAGAAGCGTCACTTACTGGAGGCTCTGTGGCTTAGCTGCGGTGGATCAGGCATGAAAGTCTGGCTTCCTTTGTTCCCCAGGGATCACCGCAAACCGCATTCCTTTCTCTCGAAACGGATCATGTTGCCTTTCCACATCAACATATACCCCTTGGCGGTTCTGTTTGAAGATGCCTTGGTTCTTGGTGCTGTCAATGACACTGTGCCCTATGACTGTTTATATACTCACAGCAGCACTATGGACCACTTAGAGTTCCTGTTCCCTTTCTGTATTGTTGAGAGGACATCTCAGATCTACCTCCATCACATTTTACGCCAGCTTTTGGTGAAGAATCTGGGCGAGCAAGCCTTGCTTTTGGCTAACTCTTGTGCCACGTTGCCCTATTTTCCTCATGTGCTAGAATTGATGCTTCATGAAGTGCTGGAAGAAGAAGCTACCTCGCGGGATCCCATTCCCGACCCTCTACTTCCCACTGTGGCTAAATTCATTACAGAGTTCCCCCTCTTCCTGCAGACAGTTGTTCATTGTGCTAGGAAGACAGAGTATGCCCTATGGAATTATCTATTTGCTGCTGTTGGGAATCCAAAAGACTTGTTTGAAGAGTGTTTGATGGTCCAGGACTTAGACACCGCAGCTTCTTACCTTATCATTTTGCAGGTAATTGCATTCTTGTTTTGGTGTCATAAGCCTGTTACCCAAAATAAAAGAATAACATTTGACTTCGTTAATTTCTCTAGGACACAGTTGAGCAGCTGTGACCTTCTAGATATGTTTTTGTACTGCAACTCCCATAATCCTTTCTCATTCTCAATGAGGCACAGGCAGCAAAACAAACATCACAGGTCTATTAATCCTTCACTATGCTAGCCAATCTAAAATAAATATATTTATAACTGGAGTTACACTTAAAATATATCTGTTCTATCTTACAAACAAATTCAACATAAGAATTCTACAGAACCTATCTTGTTCATAACGTGAGGGCTGCCTGTATTCCCAATGTCATGATATTGCTGTCAGGCTGATGTGAAGAGGCAGGGATCATGTGACCTAGAGTTCATGTCTCGAGAATGGATGCTGCTAGTTCTATCTCGTGGTCTCTGTGGAATGCACACATATGGTACTCTGGTGCCTGTGTGCAGCAGTTACGGAAGCTTGAATAGCTAATGAGGCTTGACTATAGCCCCACCCACCTTCCCCTTATTTATTTATCGTGTCATCAGCAACCAGACATTTGTATTACATTTTTAACAAAAACAAACAAACAAATGGACAAAACACAGAATTTGCAAGCTTGGTAGTTGATTAAATGTCCTTTGACCAGTAGGTGGCCACTTGGAGTGCCTCTGGTATTGCCACAAGGAGGTCCTCCATTGTGCATGTAGCAGGGCTCAGGCTGCATTGCAGCAAGTGGTCTGTAGCTTGCTCTTCTCCACACTCGCATGTTGTGGATTCCACTTTGTAGCCCCATTTCTTAAGATTGGCTCTGCATCTCATGGTGCCAGAGCACAGTCTGTTCAGCGCCTTCCAAGTCGCCCAGTTTTCTGTGTGCCCAGGGGGGAGTCTCTCGTTTGGTATCAGCCATTGATTGAGGTTCTGGGTTTTAGCCTGCCACTTTTGGACTCTCGCTTGCTGGAGTGTTGCGGAGCCAACGCGCACCCTTGCCACAGATGCCTCCATGATGGACTGGGGAGCACTCACCGGCCACCACACTGTTCAGGGTGACTGCTCACCCACTGAACAGGGCTGGCACATCAATTACCTCAAAATGCTTGCCCTCTTCAAAGCTCTGCAAGCCTTCCGTGACCTATTCCGCCATCGTGTCATCCAGGTCTGTACAGACCACCGTTGTCTGGTACCTCAACAAGCAAGAGGGTACCTGCTCCCGCTCTCTCCTGGCCTTCATGATGACTGGTGCGTAGCCAACCGCATTCAGCTGATCACAGTTGACATCCCGGGCCAGGCCAACGACCTGGCCTATATCTTAAGCTGCTCGCGACACACTGGCCATGAATGGTCACTATTGAGATGAAGTTGATGTCTTATTCCGCCGCTGGGGCACCCCGATGATAGACCTCTTCGCGATGCAGGACAACGCAAAGTGCCCCTTCTTCTGCTCTTAGGGAGCAACACCTTCCCCGGATAGATGCCTGAGGGACGCCTTCCTCTTCAGTTGGAAGGGCCCCCGCCTCTACGCCTTCCCTCCCATCCCCCTCCTCTCCAGGGTGATAGCAAAATTGCACCACGACACCGCCGACGCCATTCTTGTGGCCCTGCATTGGCCCCACCAACTGTGGTTTCCCCTCCTAACTGCGATGAAAGATGGGCACCATCACATTCTACTGATCCGGCCGGATCTCCTGACTGCGAACCAGGGAATGCTACGCCACCCAGATGTACACTGGCTCCACCTCACGGCATGTCAGATCTGGTCCATGCCTTTTCCTTGGCAGTTCTAGACATCCTGTCCGTGACGCACCGGCCATCGACGAAACACTCCTACGACCACAAGTAGACAAAGTTTTATGCCTTTGCTCGGAGCCACAATGCGGACCCGCTGTCCGCCCCCACTTCTATCCTGCTCGACTTCCTTGCCACCCTGGCACACAGGGGCCTCTCCTTCTCCTCCGTCAAATGTTACCTCTTAGCGATCTTGGCGTACAGGAACCGCCAGGGCCATGCCTCGTGCTTCCAGAACGCTCTAGTTCAACTGTTTTTACAAGGTTACCAGAATGGTTTCCCACCTCGCCCCCTACCCCCGCCAGCATGGGAGTTACGCTTGGTTCTACGCACCCACCAAATCTCCCTTTGAACCATCAGCAACGTCTGACCTCGCCCATCTGTTCTGGAAAACAGTCTTCATCGTTGCTATTACCACTGCCCGACAAGCAAGCGAACTCTGCGCTCTCCGCACAGACAAGCCTTACCTCCAGGTCCACAAAGACAAAGTGGTGCTCTGCACAGATGTCTCCTTCCTACCGAAGATCCCCTCCCTCTTCCATGCCACACAGGATATCATCCTTCTTGTATTTTTCCAGTCTCCTACCATGCCACTAGAACAGGCCCTACATCTCCTCGACGTCCACAGGGCGCTCCTCTACTACCTTGACCAGACAAAGCCCTTCCGGAAGTCCCCACAACTTTTCCTTAAATACCGATGAGACACCAGAGGTACTACGGTCTCCCCACAGAGGCTGTCTTCCTGGATCTGCGCGACCATCTGTCTCACCTACGAACTTGCTGGCGTCGACCACAAACCTTGAGGGCCCATTCGACTCGTGTGGTGGCAACATCCACAGCCTTCTCTTGCAGTGTCCCTCTCAAGAACATCTGCAAAGCAGCCACCTGGTCCACTCTGCTCACGTTCGTGACGCATTATCTGCTCTCCAGATGCCAAGCAATGTTCGGGAGGACGGTCCTTTTTTCGGCGCTGACATGACACCCACCATCCATGTTAGTGGCTTTTTAATCTACCATATGTGTGCATTCCACAGAGACCACGAGATAGAAACTATGGTTGCTTACCTGTAACTATGGTTCTTTGAGTGGTTATCTGTGGAATCCACACAACCCCAACCATCCTCCCCACACATGGTCATGCCACTTCCTCTGCCGCTTCGTTGGCGGGGAACTGAGCCTATAGCACCACATGGGGCCTTTATCCCCTCAGGGGAAGGTGGGTGGGGCTGTAGTCAAGCCTCATTAGCTATTCAAGCTTCCGTAACTGCTGCACACAAGCACCAGAGTACCATATGTGTAGATTCCACAGATGACCACTTGAAGAACCGAGGTTACAGGTAAGCAACCATAGTTTCTTTCCTCACGTAGTCTTTCCCCCTGCCTTTACCAGCGATGGAAGTCTCTTTTCATCTCCTCTCTTTCCATGTCTTGGAAAGAGGGGAAATTCGGTCCTTTTGGTTCTTTGTTGCTTTTGTTCCCTTACCTTCTTCTGATTCATTAGTAGGATTGTTCCTATACCCGAGTCACCAATAGCCCTATGCAATTAGAATCATAGAATCCTTGAGTTGGAAGAGACTTCATGGGCCACCCAGTTAGCCCCCTGCCAAGAAACAGGAAATTCTAATTCAAATTATCCTGGCAATCCCAGTTAGTTATGTAATGTCTTCACGGAGGTGTTGGTAGTACAACCCACAGTAAAGAGAATCAAATATGCTTTGTCTCGTTTTCACTTTTGAAAGTTCTTCAAAAAAAAGTCCTACTCCTGCCTTCTTTCTAAAAGTGAATTTATTTTGTATCTAGAACATGGAGGTTCCAGCAGTTAGCAGGCAACATGCAACTTTGCTGTTCAATACGGCTCTGGAGCAAGGGAAGTGGGATCTGTGTCGGCACATGATCAGATTTCTGAAAGCCATTGGCTCTGGAGAATCAGAGACGCCTCCTCCTACACCAACTACTCAGGTTTGTTAAGAACATGCCAGATCTATCAGGTATAATGATCAAGAAGTAATTGCATGTATGTTTGTAACTGACAATTGTACAGCAATTACAAATTGCACAACATTTTATGTGCAATATTGTACAACTATAAATTTTAGACTATAAAGGTTTAGGATGCATGTACACTGTCAGATTAATGACATTTGATACCACTTTAACTGGCATAACTCAATGCTATACACTCATGGGAGTTGTAGTTTTATAAGGCCTATTCTCTGCCAAAAAGTGCTGGTGCCTCACAAAACTACATGTCCCAGGGTCCTATAGCACTGAGCCACATTTACAGTGGTGTCAAACTACATTCAGTCTACATTGTAGTTGCAGCCTTAGACTTTATTTTTAGTCATTCATGCAGTATTTAGCTAAATACTGCATGAAGGTATAAATAAGTTATATGTGAGCACAATATGAGGGGCTATAGAATAACCTACCTTCTGTATTAATGTGACTAGATCAGTCTGTTTCTAATTTGTGCTATTTTCCCATGTGTTGAAGATGCCGATTACATCTCATTTTTTACTTTTTAAAAATGCACAGTAATTGTATGTCACTGTACATGTTCTCCAAAATATGCAATTTTTAAGTACTGTATTTATGGAATCCAGAACTATATTAAAATTCAAAAAAGTGCACAGTCCAAAGGACAATTGCATTTTGATCCATGTGTTTAGACTTGGGAAGTGTCAGTTTGAACAGTTCACTTAAAAGTACAGGCCAAACAAAATTCTCCAGCACCCTTGCTCTGATGTTGTGTAGTCAGGAGAGTTATCTTAAAATGTCCTGATAAACTGGTAACAAACATATATGCACTGATCTAGACAAAAAAATCAATTTACTATTCGACTGGACTATATTTCTTTCTGTAGTTCATTAACATTCTTTTTTACTTTCTTTTGTGTAGGAACCTAGTTCAAGTGGTGGCTTTGAATTTTTTAGACATCGCAGCATTAGTTTGTCCCAGTCAGGAGACAGCCTTCCACCAGGCAAATTTAACTTGCAAAAGACCTTGAGCATGCCCTCTGGTCCATCTGGCAAAAGGTAATTTAATATCCTAGTTTCTCCATTTTGTATTGTCAGCATCTGTGAACAGTCTCTTGTTCATGTTTGAGCATTTCTGTTACTGTATTTCTTCAGGCATTTGAAAGAGGATGAGATGATTCCGCTAGGGGGGATTGTGAGTGGGAGCTGGGGAGGATATTTCATTTTTAAATGAAATATTTATTGTACTAGTATTTTTATTGTATCTTAACTGTGTTTTGTATACTTGACATAAGTATTTAATAGTTTTTAATTGTTTTTGTTAACTTTTGTATTTGCCATGTTTTTATTAGAATATGTAATGTCATTGTAAACCGTCTTGAGTCTGTATGGGGAGAAAAGTGGGGTAGAAATAAAGTTAAGAATAATTCTAACACTCATCCCGTCCCGTCCCACCCCAAAAACCCCTCTAAAATGGGCTGTATCTTAGAATCACAGGTGTATCTTACGTATTTTTGGTGGTGTTACTGAAATTAGGGTGCATCTTGCAATCAGTTGCACGTTACAGTTGAAGAAATGCAATATATCGCATGCCACTGTTTTATGCTGTCAGTAACATATAGTTCGACATTATTCTAAGAGGCTAAGGCAACAGAAATGAATCTTCAATTAATTTGGCTATGGACATGTGTCTTTCAAAAAAATTATTTGTAGGTGGAGCAAGGACAGCGACTGTGCTGAGAATATGTACATCGATATGATGCTCTGGAGACATGCTCGCCACCTGCTAGAAGAAATCCGACTGAAGGACCTGGGTTGCTTTGCTGCCCAGCTGGGTTTTGAGCTGATAGGCTGGTTGTGTAAGGAGCGCACCAGAGCGGCCCGTGTGGATGACTTTGTGACTGCCTTGAAGAAACTGCACAATGACTTCCTCTGGCCATTTCCTGTTATTCCAGTCTGTTCCATAAATTCACCTCTTAAAAATGGAAAGTATAGGACAGGTAAGATATTGCCTTGCTTGGGTCAGAAAGAAGTACAGAAGCCATATGCCTAACAGAACTTGAGAAGAGACAGAAATGCAGTGGTTCTGAGCCATCCTTTTTCCCTCTGTGTTTGTGTTAAATCCAAAAGCCAAGGCCAGTGTGCATGTGTCTTGTATTATAATTTGCCTTGGTCAGACCACATCTGGAATACTGTGTCCAATTGTGGACACTTCAATTTAAGGGCAATGTTGACAAGCTGGAATGTGTCCAGAGGAGAGTGACTAAAATGATCAAGGGTCTGGAGAACAAGTCCTGTGAGGAGTGGCTTAAAGAGCTGGGCAGGTTTAGCCTGCAGAAGAGAAGACTGAGAGGAGACATGAGGGCAATGTTTCAAGATGTGAGGGGAAACCATAGGGAGAAGGGAGCAAGCTTCTTTTCTGCTGCCTTGGAGACTAGGCCACAGAACAATGGCTTCAAACTACAGGAAAGGAGACTGCACCTGAACATTAGGAAGAACTTCCTGACTGTGAGAGCTATTCAACAGTGGAGCTCTCTGCCCCAGTGTGTGGTGGAGACTCCTCCTTTGGAGGCTTTTAAACAGAGGCTGGATGGTCATCTGTGGGGGGTGCTTTGAATGCCATTTTCCTGCTTCTTGGCAGAATGGGGTTGTACTGAATGGCCCACGTGATCTCTTCCAACTCTGTTATTCTATAATTAAATAATTACTTTACACATTTATTATTTATTTACCTACTATGTTTGTTCCCAGCGCTTCTCGACCCTGAGGGGGACTTAGAGCGGCTTCACATAATGGCAGAATTTGATGCCTTAAAAACATACAATTGGTAAAAACACATTAAAAACAGAAAATTAAAACAAAAACAGTTAAATCAATTATTAACTCATGTCATCCAAAGTCATAGTCCAGGTCCATTTCAAAATTGTCATTGCACTAATTCATTGTTCATTTACTGCACTGAGGTTATTCCCCAAAAACTTGGTCCCATAGCCATGTTTTGACTTTTTTTCTGAAGGTTAACAGGGAAGGAGCTGATCGAATATCACTGGGGAGGGAGTTCCATAGCTGAGGGGCCACCACTGAGAAGGCCCTGTCTCTCGTCCCCACCAATTTGTGCCTGTGACAGAGGTGGGACCGAGAGCAGGGCCTCCCCAGAAGATCTTAATCTCCATGTTGGTTCAAAGAGGATGTTCGGATAGGTAAGCTGGGCCGGAACCGTTATAAGCTAAAGCCAGCACTTTGAATTGTGTTTGGTAGCAGACTAGCAGCCAGTGGAGCTGACATAACAGGGGAGTTGAATGCTCCCTGTACCCTGCTCCAGTGAGCAACCTGGCTGCCACCTGTTGGAATATTTGGAGCTTCCGAACAGTCTTCAAAGGCAATTCCATGTAGTGTGTGTTGCAGTAGTCTGTTTGGTATGTAACAAGTGCATCGACTACCATGGCCAATTGGTACTAACAATATGGTTATAAAGAATTTCTTTGATGTGTTGAGTCAGCAGATTTTAAAGTATAGCAATTAGTTATTGCAAGAAGATGATACATGGTTGATAAACGTTCCATGCTTAAAATATGGTATAGAGGAAGAAAATGAATGTGCTTGGTTTTTTCATGGGACTTCATCGTACCTAGCCTTGTTCACATATAATGAGGCTATGTATTCCAGAAACACTTAGCTGGTTGTGAGGGCTGATATGAATAAAATGAAAAGTGATAGCAAAGTCATTGGTTGAGGTCATCTCCAACTTAAGGCTATGCTAAAGCAACTCTTCCATATGGTTTTATTCAAGGGGGTTGAAATGGGGGTTTAGAGAGTGTTATTTGGCTAATATCACCTTGTGCATATGCATGGCCATATAGGGATTTGAACTTTGGTCTTCCAGATCCATAGTCCAACACATAAGACACTACCAAACACTGGATCAGGAAGGACTAGAACAATGCATTTTGATTTAAAGTTTCCTAGGGCTCAATGTAGGCATGGTATTTTCCCAGTTATTGGGGCGTTAAACTCTTCATGTGCTTTCACTTCCAGTAATAGGTGAGCAGCTCTTAAAGTCTCAGTCTGCTGACAGCTATTTGAATATGGAGGTGGATACTGGCGTTCCAAATGTGTCCAGAAGTCACAGCTGGCTTGGTTCCATTAGTTCCTCCCAGAGAGAAATGGATGCAGCATCATCCCATGGACCCCACATGCAGGAGGCATTCCTCTCGCCTTTGTTGAATAAAGGTGTGTGCTTTTCTTGATCCTTTACTTGGTTTTCTTTGAATCATCATATTCCTATATGGTTACATTCTATATTTTACCCCCAAATGAAAAAATCTTACAGCTTTTTCCTGAACGTTTAGTCTTTTTTAGGAACTCATCAAATACAGAAGGAAAATTGAATATCAAAAGAAAACAATAACAAATAATAAAATGCAAAGTTAGTTATTAGAAATAGGATGAATTCAGAGAAGTAATTGGGTCAAAAGCAACAAAAGTTGTGGGGAGCAAATTTCCCCTAAAATTACACAAAATAATCTTCAGAGTTGCATTCTAAGTGTAGGAAATCCTGGGGGGAAACCCACATCAATGCTTGGGAGAAGAAAAAGCACCATTAAGAATGTAATTTCCTATCTCCTTACCAAATAAATCTATGCACATTTTTAATTTCAGAATATTTCTATCCAGCCCTAAAATGGGAGAAATCTAAAAGACTATATTTTAAAGTGTAAAAGACTGCATGTAAGGACATTTCTTAAGGAGCAAAGCCACACTGTGCTTTGTGTTTCCTTAGTGAAAGATTAATGATGTCCTTCTCAGAACAGTCTAGAAATCTGCATGGTTACTATTGTACTACAGAGTATATCAAATGGCCAGTAACAGAGACGCTAAGAGTCACAACACTGTGCTTTCCATAAGAAAACAAGTTTCTAGCTCTCATGCTAATAAGCAAACTCTTTAAAAAAGCATGAGACACTGTGTTTGGATGGAGCATCTGGTAATGAAGAAGGCAGTATTGCAATTTTCACTGTACAGGTGGGGTGATCCAGTAGTTTTTTTTCCACTGATGAAACTTGCTTCTGTAAAAGAACTGGGAGAGGAGCATTTCCATCTCCTCTAGCAACTCCTGCTAAACTTCAAAACCACCAAAGTAGGTTTCCAGGTGGGGTGGAGGAGGGAAGGGAAGAAGGGGGGGAAGAAAGAAACATGGGTCCACTAGTAGATCTTGACAAGGTCTCTCAGCTTGATATTTATTTGCCAGTCCTCATCCATTAAACTTGACTTGGGTGTCATTCCTGAATTCAGTTGAGATCTGCTAGGCCATGCTGTCGCACTGCAAGCATGAGACAACTCTAAAAGCCTATTAAAATGCTACTGGCTTTTGGCTGTGGTGTCTGGGGCTTTGCTCTAAAATATATTTAATGCTGTTCTTGACTTTGGTAATGATAGGAACATTTTCTTTCAGAGGTTTTGTACTATTCCTGGTCTTATTAAGAAAAAAAGAATATAGGTCTGCTAAGCTAGAAGATCTTAGTAAGATTGGTCTGTCTGCTGCAAAAATATCATCTAGATTTTTAACATACTTTTATGTGTACATTACTGTATTTTGACAGGTGATGAATGCAGTATTGGTTCAGCCACTGACTTGACAGAAACCAGCTCTATAGTAGATGGAGACTGGACTATGGTGGATGAAAACTTTTCTACATTGAGCTTAACACAATCAGAGTTGGAACATATCTCCTTGGAGCTGGCCAGCAAAGGGCCGCATAAATCACAGGTTCAGCTGCGGTAAGTCATGCTGAACTCTTGAGGGGTAATTTGAGGTGTCCCTTCAGCCATACCTAGCAGAATGTGGACAAAATAGAGTGTTCTATGGAAGAGCTGACATTTTGCTTGTTTTAAAAGTTGCTTTTTCTTTTTTTGGTAGGTATTTGCTTCATATTTTTATGGAAGCTGGATGTTTGGACTGGTGCATTATTATAGGCCTTATTCTCCGAGAGTCTTCGGTGATCAGCCAAGTCTTTAGCCTCATGCAGTCTTCAGAGGTCGATGGGGAGATGCTGCAGAATATTAAAACAGGGTTGCAGGCAGTAGATAGATGGGCTTCAACAGATTGGTAAGTTTTAAAGTGTTGCAATAGTTTCCAGTTGCCTGTCTATCAGCTACATCTGCATGCCATTAAGCATGATGCTCAAGTTTTTACTGGATTGTAAACTAGTTATTACAAATTAACTATTTAATTTGAACTTCCTCAAGTCAGGCTCTCGAAATGTGGAGGTGGTTTCCAAAAGTTACCAAATTTCCCAAAATTGAAAAATGAGTTATAGTTGGCAGCACACTTTTGACTAGGAGTAGAAAATTATGCACAGATCAAAACTATCAAAATGTATCAAATCGCTTTGGTACAGGACTTGGAATAATGCACTATACAGCAGAAGAATGCATATTATCCTCAACATGTTTTTTCAGTTCCCGTACAATTTGCTCAGATGGATTTGGTGTGTTTTAGAAACAAGTTCCACAAATACTATGCCTGGAATAATAACAAGCTCATGAGGGATATTGTTCAGAGGCCTTTAGCAATAATTGTTTTACTTTAGAGGCTTTTCCTGTTTCAGTTGCTGTAAATAGTTTCTGACAATAGAATACGTTTCTCTAGTGAATGCTCTCCTGAATATTTAAAAAGAAGGAAATGGTGGTGGGAAACACGGTGTTGTATTTAAATATGGAAGAGCAAATTTACGGTGGCTCTGTTGGTGACCCAAACTATATGTTAAAGATAGTATGGAAGTATACTTCTGACTAGCGCAGTAATATAAGAGAATTGGGTTATCACCTGACCAGTGTGAAATATATTGATTGCTTTACAAATTACAGTAACTTAATGTATCAATTAGATTGGCCTTTAGATAATCATGTTTAGAAAATAAAACATTAGAACAGACCTCTTCAACCGGTTCCCCTCCAAGTGTTTGGGACTCTCAGAAGCCCCAGTCAGCTTGTTCAATGATCAGGAATTCTGGGAGTTGAAGTCCAAAACACTTAGAGGGTTTTGCAGATTGAAGAGGCCTGAGTTAGATCATCAATACAAATGTTGTAAATATTCTAGACAATTCCTTTCTGATAGAAAATAAAGAAATACAAACACAACCCTACCAAAAAAATGTTTTCTTGGTGTCTTGGGTTTTAGGCCTGTGTCTGGGTTTATTGGGGCTGCCGATTTAGATGATTGCATTTGATAGACCACATCAGCTCTAGTTATTTAGATATTGTTATTATTTTCTATAGGTGAGCAGATGGCAACTGGTATATGGCATATGTTCTGTATTACAAAAACTAGAGCTGATAGGGGGAGCTTGTGCTATTTTTGGAATCAGCAGGTTCAATTATACCCAGAAACATGGCTTAACATTTGAGCAACCAAAATGTGTGTTGGCCAGTGTCGTTCTTAAATTTTTATGGGCATAATTCTTACGATGGCTTAGTGTTTAGGATAGGCATGAGCAAAATTTGGTCCTCCCTCCAGGAGTTTTGGACTTCAATGTTTGCCCATGTCTGGCAGAGCTTGAACTGGAATTTCAAGGTAACTAAAATAGCCTTTTTCTTCACTTGCTGTTCTGTAGTCCTGGCTATAAGCCGTTTCTAACGGTCATCAAGCCACAGCTTCAGAAGCTGAGTGAGATCACAGAGGAGCAAGAGCAGCCAGAAGCATTTCAACCTGTGGCCCTTTCACGAGTGGCGGAGCAGGCCAGTCCCAGGGTGGAGGACAGCAGGGCCTCTGCAAGCCACAGCGCCAGCCCCCAAAATGAGGCCGGGAGCAGCCCCGCCACGCGGCATGAGGAGGACCTGCTGGGCCTGGAGGAGGAGGAGGATCCACTCCAGGAAAGCGGCTATGACTGCACCGTGTCCTGACAGCATTGAAGCGGTTGGTGGAGAGGTTTCATACAAGAGCACAGCTTCATAATGACGGCATTTAAGGACATTGCTTTCAGAGAAAAGTAATCAAAGCCTTCAAAGCAACATTTACACAAAACATGTTTTTTAATGACATTTTAAAAAATATCCACTGACTAAAGAACCTCCTTAAATCTGTGAATGCTTCCCAATAAGCAGTCTTGGCTCTTTCCTTTGTAAAGTGGTTACTGGGAAAGTAGAGGTATTTCAGTTTGCACACAATGATATTTTATCCTGTAGATCTGGTTGAGATTTTCTCTTCTATACCTCGGATTTCTTCTTTGTATTTTGGTACTTAATCATGCAGAAGGACATCTGTTCTATATCTGTGCACACTATCATTATGTTGAGGGGAAATTCTAAACAAGTATTTGCCCCAGAAGAATGAGGCAATATTTGGAATGTGTCTCATTTTCAGATTGCCTTGTATTTGAACCCAGGTTTTAAAAATTCAGCCGGGAAGCTAGTTAGGATGAAAACGTGGTACATTCTGCCTAGTTTGCCTAAGGAAATCATGGCCTGATGGAGTTGGGCTGTGTGTGTGGTGTAGATTATGCTGTTTGATATCATTAAGCTTTTATATTGAATAAATTGTAAAATACATTGTATGTTTTGTGAATACTCTTGTACATTAAGGTTACTATTTTATGCTTTTGGTGCTTGTACAACAGTGGGGGTTCCCCTCTCTATCTTGCATGTCTTTATAGTTGACTTCAGAAAAACTAAAAGCAAAGTTGCACTTCCAACCAGACGCAGCAAACTTTGATTGACTTTAAGAGTAGTATCAGTTGCTTGGGACTTCACTTGTCATTTGGACACATTCAAAGAAAAGGAAATTAAATTCCTGAAGATTCTTATTTATTTCACTTGTAAATTCTTTTCTGAAAACTATTTTATGTAAATATACCCCCTTATATATGAATGCTACTACAACTGAGGGTTCAGTTACACAATGTACAGTGTATATACACGAACAGCCATCTTGCAAATATTTTATAATGCATACACCTGTAACTATTTACAAATGTTTATTTTAACTTTAATACAGCAATGTTATAAAAAGCTGGTTGCAGCAGAATCTCATGGTTGCTTTGAGGTACCTTTCCCCTCTGCTGTTCTCAATGTGTATAATATTAAATACCTATAACAGTATTAAAATTTAAACATTGGTTGGTTTATACTGTCCATTTGGGGGGAAATGCAACACTTCTAGTTTTTTATACAAGAAAGCCTAACACTTATTTTTATAACGTTGGTATAATGAACAGTGACATGGACCAAAATCATTTCTCATTGGAGTATAAACATCGCTGTTTGCCATAGCTCTGGTACAGTTACTCAATTTGTTAATGCAATTTTTCCTGTATGAATTTGGAACTGGTAACATGTTCTGAACATTCAAAGGGGGGGGGGGGAGGAAAGTATTGGTCATAAATATGTATATTCTCTAGAAGACAAAGTTAAATGTCTTTTAATGGATACATGTAACTAAATATGTTTTATTGCTGTTGCTTAGCCCTTACCATTGGTAAGACCATTAGTACTGGTACATGTGCAATAACTTTAAAATAAAATGACAAAGGTTGGAAATGACCTTGCCCTCCAAGTTTCTTGTTCATTTGATATATAAAGATTAAGAAAAAAGGGGGGTTTTAAGCTGAAGATGCTCTGTGCAGTTATGCTGGCCATCTGACCTTTATGGACAACACCACCTTTCAGCTTAGAAATGGAGATAAGCATCACCTCCCAGAGTCAGACACTACTAGACTTAATGTCAGGAAAAACCTTACCTTTACTTTAAGCTGAAGATATAAAGATGGAGAGAGCAGAGACAGACATACAAGATGACAAGGTGAAACAGGAGATCCCATTATGTGCCAGGATGTGGATACAATGAGCAGAATCCTCTGCAACTTGTTTCTCCAAAAATGTCCATATAGGATTTATTTTTTTCTTGAGTGGAAAAACTATATTCTTTCCTCGGGGTCTTCAATATAGTTTGCAGTTCCTAAATCTTGATGGTGGAGTAGTTCTTTTAGCTTTGATTTCATTGAGAGATCCCTCCTTTGCAAGATAGACTTCTCAAAGTCAAAAATTAAATGGAGTCTTGCAGTTTTGTGCTCCATTGCCAAGGAACATTGTGGAATCTTTCGCCTTTGGCATGGGCACAGTGGTCTTGCTACCAGAGGCAAACTTGACTTTTCCCAATCCAGGGTTTTTGTGGGGGGGGGGGGGGGGGGGGGGGGGGGGGGGTTGTTTTTTTTTTTTTTTGCCAAAGCAATATTGACATGTTGGCCCACATCCTAACAGCCTCAACGGTTTGTCCTCCCTTTTGATCATGTCCTGCTTGTCTCCTTTTATAACAATACACGTATACTATATTTTTAACATAACTGCAAATTCCTTCTATATCACCTTGTCAACCTATTTAAATTCCTTGGCACTTTTTGATCAGATCTATATTTTTGGCACCTTTTTACCATATTCAAAGATGCCAAAATCTTTCCATCAACAACTTACTTTTCCACCTTGGACATTCCACAGATATATACATCTCACTTGCCTAGTTTCCAACAGACCTGCAACCTCCAAAGATGCCATAGGTGTGAGTGAAACGCCAGGAGAGAATGCTTCTGGAACATGGCCATACAGCCTGGAAAACTCACAGCAACACAAGTTACTTTTACTTGAAACTCCTTCACCTGAATGGCTGAAATGTCCATTTCCCTTGTTTCCCCAACTCTCTCTGTGTAGTGTTTGCTAACATTTGAGTTTCTTGCAACTCTGTTCTTGCCCTGTGGCAACTGCCCTTACTAAGACCACAACAATCTTACTGTCAAAGTCTCTCTTCTTGACCTCTCTTCTGCCTTTGTCATCCTTCCTTCACTATCATTATGCCTTAAGACTTCTATCTTTCCTCTAAAACCAGTGTTATCTCCCCAAGGTCTCTTGCTTTAAGCTTCAACCTACACACCCAATTTTAATGATGCTTCAAATACATGCAAATACTGTATTAATGTCCTGCTAGCTTCATGTCTTCCGTCTCATTTTACCTCTGTCAGCTTTCGTTTGTAAGCAATGTCTGGCTATATAGCGAAGTTCACTGATATAAGTGTCCCATGACAGAAAAGAAATGTAGTTGTGGATATCATCATTCTGTTCATAGTGAAGTTGATCTAAATAGAGAATTTAATAAAAAAAACATAATTGTTATTCATAAAATTGTTTTATTTAGCATTGGTTATCCTTTACATACATTCCATTTTCCTTTTGGCCTCTTGTGAATTTCTTCCATAGTAGTTCTAACATGCTTCTGGTTCAACTATGGCTTAGTTTTCAGAAGATGTTAATACGCCTGTAGTTCTTAAGATGCAATCCTATAGACATTTACATGGGAATAAGCCATACTGAACTCAATGAGATTTATTTCTGAGTAGACACATAGGATTGCATTGCTAGTATAACACTTTAAACAGCAGCCGAGGGCTCACACCTGGAATTTCTGTGCAGAAGTGGTCTTGCACACAGAAAAATAGCATAGAACAGAAAGAGACAGCTGTTTCCCCACCACACCATCTATATTTGTTTTATAGAGCCTCTAAATACAGCCTATAGTGTTATACAGAAGCACAGATCAATTTATTTTTCACTTATAAAGTCCACAGTTAAGCTAAATTAAATAAAGTAGCTTTGTAATAAATGCAATGAACTCAGGGGGTTCCACACAAGACTCATTTTGTCAATGAGAATTTTTCAACTGAACAGCTCTGTTGAGGGCTTTCAGTGTAATGTTTAAACCAAGGAAGGCTGGACAAAACTATCAAGAAATGAACCCATGTGCTGAACAATTAAGTATTGTTTTAAAAGGCAGGAATTCAGCAAAAAGACATCCTACGTGGCACTCAGCTTCTTCATAAAATATGCATCCTGAGTTAAGCAAATACAGGGTTAGTCAAAATGAATAGGCCAATAAGAAAATTAATTTTAGACGAATGTATGTTTACTGTAACCAAACCACAGCTACGTAGCGACAGATAAACTATCAAAGTTTTTTTGAGCAACACACATGTACGTTAATGCCGCTAGGCGTCGCTAGGGGTCGCTGTTTTCAAAATGGCGGAATCAAGCAAAGAGAAGGCGTTTTGTGTGATGACATTTGCTAAAACAATGTCAGTAATTACGGTCCAGCGAGAATTTCAAGGGTTAGGGTTAGGGTTAGGGTTAGGGTTAGGGTTAGGGATAGGGTTAGGGTTAGGGATAGGGTTAGGGTTAGGGTTAGGGTTAGGGTTAGGGTTAGGGATAGGGTTAGGGTTAGGGTTAGGGTTAGGGTTAGGGATAGGGTTAGGGTTAGGGTTAGGACCTCAACGAACACCTTCCCAGACGTTGCTGCATTCGATGCCATTACGTCGGATGTGCTGCAACGGATGTGGAATGAACTGGACTATCGCTTGGACATCTGCCGTGTCACACGGGGCGCCCATATCGAACATCTCTGAAGGTGAGACAAAACTTTGATAGTTTATCTGTCGCTACGTAGCTGTAGTTTGGTTACAATAAACATACATTCGTCTAAAATTAATTTTCTTATTGGCCTATTCATTTTGACTAACCCTGTATTTAATCATTTGCCCTGATGATCCTAGCATGCACTGAGAAATGTAGGTCTCCCCTCCCCCTTTTTTCTGTATATACATCATGCAGTCATTAAAAAAAGTCACACCCAAGTTTAGAGGCACAATGGGATGCTTTGTGCATTTCTGTACAACAGATTTAGAAATTCTCCAAGCTTTATTTTGTTGGAGAACCGCACAATAAAGTGCAGTGAGATTTTAAGCACACATGGATAGAGAAATACGTAAAGAGAGGCAAACAATCTACAACACGGCTCATTTCCTGCTATAAAATATTTCTAAATAGAAGGTAAAATATTGCATGCAAGATCAGCTGCTTTGGAAACAAGGATTCCATGCATATGTTAATATAGGCTACATTTGGTCAGCTTTGCTTCAAGTGTTTGAGTTTAGTACCTAAAGCAATGCTGTGATTTAAGGCTAAATGACATATTGCACTAAACAAGGGGAGCTCTGCATTTGTGTCCCCACTCCATCATGCCAAGTACAACTGCCTGTGTTCTGAAGTCACGTGGGTTGCATTTCTTTACTTCTGTCTGTTCATGATATGAAACTGAGGCAGGAAAACACACCGAAAAAAACCAGAAAGGTAGGGAGAGCTAAATGCCTGGGAATAGTGCATTTAATGTAATATTGAAATTTACATTTCTACAAACCTGCTTTTAAGTTGCAATTAAAATTTTTCAAAATGGTGAAGTCATCTTTGGGGGGGGGGGGCAATTTATCATCTTCAGAATTTATGCAAATTTATGCATATTATGCAACTGTAACAATATATCTACATTGTAAAAATATGGATTACTATGGATTTGCACGAGTACCTGATTCTAATTGCCTTCACTTGTAAAAGCGGTTTGAAAATTGCTTCCAGATAATGCTGTCTATATATAATATTTCTCACCTTGTCCTTTCCATATGGATGTTCTCTTTTTCCCTGAAAAAGTTCCTACAACGTAAGAATATTCCCAGTGAGCTTGGTGTGAACTAATATCTTAGTTTCTCAGCACTGCTCTTCTTCTAGTGCTCTACCAAAATATGCATAATTTATTATAATCTATGTGCAACATATGGGAGAACTTATATATGAATATTTTGGCAAGTGCTGTTTTTACATCTTTCACTGTAACAGAACAATCCACTTTACATTATACACATGACATACAACTTTCTCCTTCAGAAGTAGAAACTGGGCAGAAAAAGAATCTGAGAAATGGAAACATGTCTGAGCTGCCTACTATCTGAGGTTGGATTCTACACTGCCCAAATCCCAGGATCTGATCCCAGATTATCTGCTTTGAACTGGATTATATGAGTCTACACTGCCAAATCTGGGATAAGAAGATAATTTGGGATCAGATCCTGGGATATAGGGCAGTGTAGCTCCAGCCTGAGATACTTTCTTTGTGTTTGGGCTCTTTGTGGGAAACAAAAACGTTTGCCTAAAGATCTCATAAAGGTTCCTTGACAAAATTTGCTATCCCATCTTGTCATCACACATAGATATCAAATATCTTATTAAAAGCACAGTGGCCAAGATCCTACTTAACACTGGAAGAGCATAGAAATCCACCTCCGCACTTGAACAACTGCCAGACAAACAATAATATAACAAAGGGAAATATCTCTGACCAATTTGAGGCTGTTTGACTTGTTGGAGGTAGAGCTACAACATGCAAGGAGACTCTCTTCCTGTTCAACATCCAAAAAGTAACCTGCTCCTGGTCCCCAGTTTTCCCAGCACCAGTCATAACAAGACAATACCAGACGTTGTGTGCTTTTTTGTATCCTTTCTTAATGGCTTCTAGTTCATGAGACTTGCTCGCAGCCACCTTTCTGCTCTAGATGGATGACTGAAAAAGAGGTTTTGGTCAATGTATTCGGCTTTGGAAATAATTTCCCCCATGAAATGACATCTTTGGAATTTACTTTTGCACAATAAAACAGTTCTATGTCATGGAGAGTGTCATGAAAACAAGGAGAAAAGTGTCTTTTTACTTTTTAAATTTTTTTGCCTTTGGTTACATTGTCTGGCTTGGTTCCTTCCCCATCCATTCCCAATGTTTCAAATGGGGAAGAGACATTTATGAGTTCCTTGCTTCAGGGTGCTTCAGGTCCTATGGTCTCAAACCATTACTTGGTATGATTCCACCACCCAACACACACACACAAAAGACTGTTCTTCTGCCTGTTTGGAGCACCATCACTAGAGTCAGGAAAGGGGTGCAAATGTTTCGTGATTGGCAAGAAGGTGGCTTGAGCAAGTGGCCCCTCTCTTGGAACTGAAAATAGAAAGTGCTCCACCGTAAACACTATACTCCCTGTGATACTTTCTCAGAGACCACAGGATTACGGTCTTAAAATTCAAGAGAGGAAGGGAAACCATAGCAATTCCCTTACCAGGTACTCATTCTTAAACTTTCTTTGTCTTTCTCATTGAAGACACCCTCAGTTGAACATCTTTGACAAAAGCACTTTCTAGACATTTAGACATGTGAGGAGTTTTTCAAAACCAACTCAAAAGCTCACAACTTTTGAGTTGATGTGGAAACCGCAAAGGAAATCAAATAAATAATACAAAGGTTAGTCGTTGGTAATGCAACATCTACTCATCAACAGATTACCCATAACGAAATTACAAAACACACACACTTATGCATACGGAAGGCCAGAGTGGTGGCTCAGTGCTTAGAAATATATAAAACAGTGCTTATGTGCTTGCATCGGACACCTCTGCCTGACTAGCTTTCATGTTCACTGATTCCCAAAGGGAAGATGGACCTGATTCAGCCTCTTACTGCAAGAGACACAACAGTAGAAAGATCAAGGAAGGAAATACAGATAGTTCAGGGGAAAGGGACCCAGGAATACCATCAGGTCACGCAAAATTTGGAGCCTGCTCACCATGTTCTCTAGCATTACAATTTAAAGGACTTTGATTGCATGCAAAATGAGCATCAGTACTGCCAAACTGAGATCGCCATGACTTCTTTCTTAGCTTTCATGATCTCCAATGTTAAAAGTCTCTGAGCCATAGTCTTTAGTTGATTAGGACAATGCTAAAAGATGGCAGGACATGTGTTATTTAAAGCCTGTGAAATTATTATACGTTGTGCTTGGAGTTTCTGCACAAAGCTTCTCTTATTGCAAGATGCCCAGGAGGGCTGCGCTAATGCCACTTCAGCAAAAGCAGTTTTCATGTTAAGCAGACATGAGGTGAACAGGCCATTTGAGTGGGAGAAAAAGGGGATAATTTTGCATAAAATACCCAGAGACCCCCTCCTTCCTGCCCAAGCAGGAAATATAGCAGTATTTTTATGGTTCTCAGCTGCCATAGAAATACACTTGTGGCTAAGTTATTTTTTTGTCAATAATACCATATCATCCAACTTGCCCAAACATCATGTGATCGGAAATCACATCCAACAAGGTACGGACAACCACTGGCTTTTCTGTTGCTGCTGGATTAAAAGACGAATTGATCATAAGTGGAGACCCAGCCTGAGGGAAATGTCCAGTTGGGAAATCGGTCTATTAAGGCAAGTAATTGAGGAGACTTCTGATCGTCCCCAAATAAATAATGGGTAACTATAGCAAGGGTGACCATCCCTCTAGAGTTCTCATCTGAGACCTGAAAGGCAAAAAAGAACAGAAGGATGATGTCAAATCTGCCCACGAAACTAATAATCCTTATGACATTACACTTTAAAGCATGCATGGCCAAACTTCGGCCCTCCCTCCAGGTATTTTGAGCTTCAACTCCCACAATCTGCTGTTAGGAATTGTGGGAGCTGAAGTCCAAAACATCAGGAGGAAGGGCCAAAGTTTGCTCAAGACTGCATTAGTGTTCATAGCCTCACCTTCAACTCTATCCAGAACTGCCATGGCAAGGCCTGGAGCCCATGAGAATAAAACACAAAGTAATCCCCATCGATGGCATTCACCACGGGAGTTCCATCTCCAAGAGACCACAGGAAAAGAGTTGAGCCTTTATGTGGCCGAAGGAACAGCGACATGTGACTTGGACCTAAAGCATAAAGCAGACACAGATTTCTGCATGAAGTTGCTTTAAAAAGAGAGAGAGAAATCCTTCTGGGTGTTCTGAGGGGATGCTGTGCATTTATTTTCAGCCTGAAGCGAACTTTCCAATATTCCAACCATTTGTTTCACCAATCTTCTCACATGCATTACTTTCTAAAAAGGAGGCAAACCAGTCAACCTTATATATGCCTACTCAAAAGGAGATTTTATTTTAAAAAAATGAAACTACACATATGCTTACACTACCAACAAACTGGTTTATTTATGCCAAGTGCACCTATGAGAGGCCTTTCTTCTATCACGTATGTAGCATGGACAATTGCCTTTCACTCTCACTTAACTATTACACAACAGCAGTCATTCCAACACATCATCTGAACTATTTCCATCTAAGAAGTCATTTAAAAAATAGCACCCTGGTTTTTCTTTTTATTTAGCCCCCTTTCATCCCTTAGTTCTCGTGTATCAAGCCTTAAATTAAGGCCCCTTCTACACTGCCATATAGTACATATTATCAAAAGAGATAATCCACATTATCTGTTTTGGACTGGATTGTATGAGTCTACCATATAATCCAGTTTAAAGCAGACAATCTAGATTTTATATGGCAGTGTAGAAGGGGCCTAAGATTGCAGAGGATAGGTAATGTCATTTACTTTTCTTTGGCAGCCACTTGAGGCATGACAGAAATGCTTTAATTTCCAGTAAATAAAAGAAACAGCTGTTGTGTGAAAAGACTGGGCTTTTTCTATCAGGTAATTTTCAGTATCAACACTGGCTCGATCTATACTGCCATATATCCCAAAGTATCAAAGCAGATGACCCAGATTATCTGCTTTGAACTGGATTATATGAATCTGGGTAAAGGTAAAGGTTTCCCCTTGACATTAAGGCTAGTTGTGTCCAACTCTGGGGGGTGGAACTCATCTCAATTTCTAGACCGAAGAGCTGGTGTTGTCCATAGACACCTCCTAGGCCATGTGGCTGGCATGACTGCATAGAGCATCATTATCTTCTTACAGAAATGGTACCTACTGATCTACTCAGATTTGAATGTTTTCGGACTGCTAGGTTGGTAGAAGCTGAGGTTAACAGTAGGAGCCCACCCCGCTCCCTGGATTCAAATCGCTGACCTTTCAATCAGCAAGTTCAACACCTTAGTGGTTTAACCCGCTGCACCACCAGGGGCTCTTTATATAAGTCTACAATGTCAAATAATCCAGTTCAAAGCAGATAATCTAGTCTTGATATGGCAGTGTAGATGGGGCAATGTTACCTTGTCAAAAGCAGCAACACCTTAAAGCCTTCTCGTGACCATGTAATTTGTAGTATTCAACATGATTTGAAGGCTTCCAGATGGAAAAATTACAGAGAAATATAAATAAATAAACCTGATGGGAATGTGCTCCAAAGAACAAAAGGGTTACGGCATCTCAAGAAAAGCAGCATGCATCACCAGTTCTGTCATTCTCCTCACATAGAGAGTAACAAATCTAAAACAGGTAATCTGTGCTTCATATAACTGGCAATTCTGAACCATTATGTGGAGATCCTCCACTGGAACGGCCAGAGGTTACAAACTGGAAGATCACTTCTGCTTTTCATAAGGTTCAGCAAACACAAGGTACCAGGGAGGAATAGAGTACCTTGTTTTACAAGGGAATTACAAATCTAAAATATCTCCCACAGAAAAGTCACAATGGAAGGAGTGATGGCCATCATGACTCACCTGAGGCTTCAAAGGTTAACTTTGTAGAACCCCGAGGCGTTTGCTTTTTGGAGAGAAGCTGAAAGTGGACAGGTTCTTTGGGAGCAACTGCTGGAGCAGGAAGATACCAATTCTTTCTATAAGAAAAAAAGTTCTGCTTTTAAAAATCACTGTGATTCATCAAAACACTTTAAAGTGCATTGAATTATTTATTGGTTTGATTTTTATCCCAATGTCAGGTAAGGAAGCAAGATGGCTTCCAACACAATTTTAAAGTTTCCAATAAACACACACACACACACACACGTATAAATATTAAAATAAAATTTAAATCAATGGTATTATACTGAAATCACTGCTTCAAATTAATTGGTATGGCCCCAAAAGATGGACAAGATCCTTGGGGTGATAACTCTCATATGTGTCCTAAATCCTCCATTTTCCTGGGTTATTGGAAAAGTCATTGGAAGGTTGGCCAAGTGGACAAAGGCCACAGCCAGAGGTCTTTTTTTAAACTTGAAACATGGTAGAAATGTGTTGTTGCTTTGTGAGAGCAGGTGCAGCCCTATAAGTTCCTCTAGGAAGTGAATGCAATCCTCCGCTGCAAAGTTACCCAGCCTTGTGGTAACACATGTGGATACTGAGCCTGTCTGGGTTTTGTTTTCTTCAGAGTAGACTACTATCTTCCAGGGGCAAAAATCTGCAGTCTAATAGAAAGGCTGACAAGCCCATTGTTGGTTATTCCTTTCTTTTGTTCCACTAGGGAACCAATGACACGGAAAGGAATAATCTTCAGGGCATCATACATCCTGTGAGACTCTGGGTGAATGACCTCTATGCACAGGTTGTCATTTTGCCTTTCCATCCAGTTGAAGGACACAGGAAGGGAGAGAAGAATGATGATCAACAACTACCTCCACAGAAGATGACACCGAGAATGATCTGACTTCTTGTACCATTGTGTGTAGTTTCATGAAGATGGCAGTTCTGATAAGTGATGGGTTACACTTCACAGTAATATTATTGCTATGTCTCATAAATCTGATCAGGATGAGCCAGACTGAGGAACTGACAATGAAATGCTACTCCCATCATGACAGGAACAGGGATATAATAGCAGCTGGAGGGCCATAGGTACCAGCACCTTGGACTATCAGTGGTGTCAAACTTGTGGCCTTCCAGGTGTTTTGGACTTCAGCTTGTAGAATTCCTGACCATTGGACAAACTGACTAGGTCTTCTGGGAGTTGGGAGTCCTAATTATTTGGAGGGCCAGATGTCTGACAACTCTGGATTCAACACACTGCTTGCAAATGCAATTGTGCTGAAAAGATAGCACTAAATTTAACTTCTAAAGAAGGAAGGACACTGCACGACAACAAACGAAGGTTTTGACTGTAAACTGGGATTTCATGCTTTGGTTAACTGGCATCAGATAATAGACAACAAACAACTGCAAAAGAACACCATGTCCTTGCAGAATGGAATCCTTCTCCATCCTGAACCCAAATTTAACTCCTTACTGGAATAGCTTTACTGCCTACCAGTTCATTTAAAGGCTTGTAAGTACTGATTATGATCTGTAAAGCCTTCACTCCTTAGGTCTAGACTTTCTGAACTATTTTCTCTATGTGAGCCTGCCAGAGTCCTAAAATCCTCAAAGGAAGGCTTCTTCTAGGCCCCACCATGCTCACAGAATTGCCTGGTGAGGAAATGAGAGAGAGCTTCTCAGCAGCTGCACCCAGTCTGTGGAATTCCCTTTCACAGGAGGCCAGGCTGCTCCCCTCCGTTTCCCATTCCATGGCAGGCAAAGTACTTTTTATTCAAACAAATATTAACTGATTAATCCATTTCAAGCAACCATTTTATTGTGGGTGTGTGCTGTATTTTCAGCTTTACCATTGTATTTTTATATAATTGGATACTTTTGTGATTATTTGTTTAAATGCGGTCACATCCCAGGAGAAAGGCAGCATATTAAAAAAGCAAACAAACTCTAGAGGGCAGGAAGGGGCTGATTGCTGATATTGGAGAGCTGTGCAGTATACACTCTCCTCCATGCAAATTCTCAAACAAACAAAAACTAAATTGGAAGTTCTGCATCTGGCCATTTATTTTTTGTTTTTTGTAATTTTGGTCTGTAGCTAACCACATCTTGCTCTGGTGAAGCTTTTAGCAGGTGAAAATTAGCCTCCTATATTCACCATAGGTTTACCTGTGTGCACATAAGACAGCCTCCAACTCACCCACCAAATTTCATAGTCTAAGGCAAAGTGGTGGTTTTGCCATTACCTTCCTCTGAAATATAGCCCACCGTATCTGGTATTGATTGATAATTTCCCATTCAAGTGTTCATCAGGACTGATCCTGCTTAGCATCCAAAATCAGACCAGATCTGATGTTAAGAGCTTTTTACCCCCTATCCCAATCAAAACATAATTAATTAACTGCTTAGCTTTGAAGGCAACAATTGATTTTTCAGGAAGTTTTCTAACTATTGATAGCCTCCTTTAAAAAAACAACAACAACATGTTTCAATGAGGAGAAGTCACTACCAACCTCAATAAATAGTCCACAGGAAGGATCCAGGGTAAGCCACAAAGTGGTGAGTTTTCCTCACATTTTGTTCTAATGGAGTCATTGAGTTCAGGTATATGAGGAGTAATATGAGACATTCCAGCATAATCAAGTCCATTAATCCATATTCCGGAATCACTTTTTTCCAAGTGGCCATCAAGGCTATGAAATCTTCTGTTTAAGTGCTGGGAAAGAGACAAAGATGACTAGTCAATGGACAGATTTTGGCTGAAACAGATTTGGCTGACACATTGTCCAGAAATATCATATTTTGGTGCTGGTTCCTTTAAAAATAGCCCCCTCCCTGCTGTCTCCCTGAATAAAAAGGCTAAAACCTTTTTATTTAGGCAGGCTTTTAAAGATGAAGGTTTTTAAGATAAAGTCAGGGGATGCTGTGATTTTTAACTCTGAATGTTTTAATGGTTTTTACCTGTGAAATTTTTAATACTGTTTATATTTAATTCTGTGTTAATGTTTGCATATTTGTATGTTTTAAATTGTATGCTTATGCTTTTCTGTTACGCTGCTTTGAGTCTCCTTCGGGAGAGATAAAGCAGAGTATAAATAATAATAAGAAGGAGAAGGAGAGCTGTTTGTTTTTCCAGAATTATTGCAATTTGACACCATTTAAACAGCCATGGCCAAATGCTATGGAATCATGGGAAATTCAGTTTCATTTTTTAAAAAAAAACTCACTTGCTTACCTGAAGAAAGATTCTCTTAGGCCTTGGGTTTGCTGCATCTGAACTGTAAGGAAAAAAGACTCCAGTGCAAACAAGGGTGAACATGATCACAGCAACTGTTGTTAAAGTTATTATTGTTGTTTTTGTGTTTCTTGCAAGGTAGATGAACTTAACCTACAGAATAACAACAAGAGCAAGCATAAAGTTTTTTTTTAAATTATAGAAACATATTTTGAAAATATAACCTGAAGAACATGTAAGCTGCTTTATTTTTAAAAGGTTTAGATTTTTTACAGTACTTGTTCACAGAGAGCTATGCTGTCTTATTTCCAACACAGCTCTCTGGAAAGTGAGACTAAGGCCCCATCGACACTGCCATATCATCCAGTTTCTGAATCTATATTATCTGCTTTGAACTGAATTATATGGTAGTGTATACTCATAAAATCCAGTTTAAAGCAGGTAATCTGAATTATATGACAGTGTAGATCCAACCCGAGAGGCAGTGATCTGCCACTTTAAAAAATTCATTGTGAAGTGAAGAGGTGAGCCTGGACCATTTGCACCTGCCCTTTGACTACTTCTTTATTTCTGGCCTGAGTGAGCAATGCGTGGTATTTCCTACTGAGCAAAGAATCCAGAAGTCTGAACTACTCAATTTTTTGTCTAAATTAAAAAGAAAGGTTTTTAGCTCTTATGGGTGTAAAGATGCCTGGAGAAATTACATGGGGTATCTGTACCTGTTATAATTTCAAAAATGGTGCTTTGTAGAACTGAATTGCTGCTCAGAATGACTGGGTTGGTCCAGATGGCCCATGTGGTCTCTTCCAACTCTGATTCTATGACTGCATGCAAAGACTTCTTCGGCTGCATCAACACTGTAGAATGAATGTAGTTTGACTCCACTTAAACTGACTCCATTCAATGTTATGTCATCATGGGAGTTGTAGTTTGATGAGGAACCAGCACGCTTTGTCAGAGAATGTTAAAGACTCTGTAAAACTATAATTCCCATGATGCCATAGCACTGTCAGAATGAGACTTGACCCACTGTCTGGTATTAATCTTTTAATCCCAGAGATCACTTGACAACATTGTAGTATTTGATGGTAGTTCAAGAAAATCCCACAAAATGCACATTTGCAGGTGAAACTGATGGGATTTCACAACAGGATTGTAAGCAGAAGTATGCTGCTTTAAAATCACAGAAGGGATGTGTGGAAACTATATGGTTTGGGGAAAGGGGAACAGACAAGACTTTAGAATTGTTGCAGTTTGACACCACTTTGACTGCCATGGCTCACAAGTTTTAAGTTTAGCCTTCTCTGCCTTAATAACAACTTGTAACTTTCACCAGAAAAGCAATGGCTTGTAGCCCTAGAAGCCTTTTCTATCTGAAAGCACCACCTATGGAATCTCTACTACAACCAAGCAAACTTTTGCACATTGGAGATGGCATCCTTTTCCCAGTCTGCTGCACTGAGTGGAATTTGTTAAACAAACATTTCAAAAGTTATTTAAACCTGCTTAGTTTGCAGACTACACCATTTTTGCTTATGGTTCTAAAGCATCCTTACCAAGTAGGAAGACAGGATTATAGAAATAACAACAATAAAAGCAGCCACTATTAAATCAGGTGGGATTTCTGAACCACTGCGTCCCATGATGGGAACAAACATTTCAAATATAATCCAGTTGAGGTATAACGAATAGACGTGTGGAATAAACATTCCCAGGAGGTACATAGTAAAGAATTTCATTGTGGCACCTTCAAGACAAAGAGGGAGAGAGAAAATAAATCTGACTGTAGAATACAGTTTTAAAACTCTGGCATGATTTTCTATAAGATACATCAATATCTGTCAAGATGTGTCACAACACATGAGGCAATATATAAGCAAGGACTTGTCTACAGTTATTTAAGTCATGATAGCACTAGGCTGATGTGGCAGCTGCAGTGGATCTAATGGTCACATCCACTCCATCTTTAGTTTCTCTGGACATCCCTGGCACCCCTTCACTTCCTCAAACCCACAAGAGACAGCCTGTTCATTTTCTCGTTTTATTTTGGGGGGGGGGACTGGGGCCTCTTTCAGGTGCACTCTCCCTCAACAGCATTGAAATTGAAACTTGTGTTTCCCCAAAAGACTTGGAAACTGGGAGGAAAAAAGAGATTTTGGAAGTAATTGAGGATTATACACACACTTAGGCTGGATGTGGTTCACAGGTCATACAACTTTTAGCCTTATGACAGGCAAAAGGCAGATAAGAATAAATTTCCTGGCAGTGTAAATTGCAGTAGCAATGTTAGCATTGTTGTGGGTGTGTCCAGGCACCTATCAAAGCCCGTAGAACAGGGCTTCCCTGCAGAAAAGAAAGGAACCCCGGGCCAAATGTTGAGATTTTATTTTCTTAAGCGGGCAAGGGAGTGCCCGTGAGAGCATCAGTCACAGAAAACAAGATGACATTTCAAGACTGCATTCACTTTGAAGCTCTCATGTGAAACACTCAGCAACAACACTAAAGAACAGCATGACAACCCAAAATATTTTGGGCAGCCCATTTTGGCAGAAAGCAGATGGCATGTGAAAGCAAGAATGTCCATGGAATCATCTAAGACAACAGCAGAAAGGCACCAGAAGCTTAGGTACAATACATACAGGGCTAAACATCACTGCCAAGCACATCACTAAACAGCTTTAGCAGAGTAAGTGAGCTGCTTCCATTAAAAGCAACCAGTTGGAGAGAAGGCCAAAGGGACATGTGTGGTGCTGGCTACTTCACAACTCCATGGCATATGTGCATCTACACTGTAGAATTAATATAGTTTGGCACCACTTTTCAATTGCCATGGCTCAATGCCATGGAATCATGGAGTTTTAATAGGCCTTTAGCCTTCTCTGTCAAAGAGTGCTGGTGCCTCACCAAAGTACAAATCCTCGGATTCCACTACATTGAACCATGGCAGTTAAAGTGGTATCAAACTACAGGAAGATCTCACTGGGAAAGGAGGATGTGGTCCCGATTGGGAGTGTTACATTCTGCCTGTTTGATGCAGGATCTCAGCCACTGTGTACTGGCACAATCTGAAATATTCACGCAGGCAGATTACTTCCTGTGTGGATAAGCACTGCTGTGGTGCTGATGTTGTTGTTTGTGGAAAGTCTCTAATCCTGTCCAAACATAATGAAGTATGGGGACAATTGCATGCAAATAAAAATATATCTATATTTCTTTATGTGCATCTATAATAATAAAAATGCAGGCCTCTGTGCATGTTTGCTTTTCCACCACAGCTGCAAGATTAAGGGTACTTTGGGTTTCTTTATTTCTGAATTGAATTAAAGAAAGAAAGTGAGATGAGAAGAGCAGAGGAAAAAAGAACAAGACCAAAGTGAGAACTAAGAAACGCAGGTATTTCTAAATCTTGCCAAGCTGGGTAGTGCAAGCATGATACATGGGTAGTTTGCCAGACAGGCCTGAATGCTAATGAGCAGTCTCAACTAAACAAAATTCACCAAACCAAATACTGAATGGTGAGTCAGATAATTAAATCACATGGATTCAATGGGTGTATTCTAGTTGGGACTAAGAATATGATTCAAGCTACTGATAGACGCATTCTTACACCCACAGAGCAATACAAACATGTGACACAGATATGTAGCTTTGGCTTTTATTCATTCATTTGTATGCTTTAATAATAAAAGAGCATCTGTGTCTGCGTTACAAAACTATGAAACTTGGCAGTGAAAAGGTTCCCCATCCGAAACAAAGAAAATAAAAATATTCTTCATTTTTATTTGAAATAAAAATTGTTTTTCTGTCATGAGAAAAAAAAATACTCTTTTAAAAACAAAAATTATTCTCCAGATACAAACATTTCCACTATGAGTTTTGTCTACCCCATCACATTACTTAGCATCTACATAATAATGCAGCATGTTCTAAATTTTTCATATTCACTGGATGTTGGCCAAATGGCATCACTTTACTGATGAAATGCCTTTTTATTCAGTGGGTATTTCTGTCAGCGGGATGGAGCAGAAGAAGGCAATTTCTTGTGATTTCCTCTGCCTCACCAGCATCCCTAAGATTTGCTTTGCTCTAGAACTTTGGTCTTAGGGACCCTTCAGAAAAGCCCAAGAAGTAGAACGCAACTTGTAAGGAGGAGGTGAGAACCATCCAAAATCATCATTCATCTCTTTCTACTGGTGGAAAATCAGTAGAAAGGCCAAAGAGCGTTGCATCGGACGAGGGACACCAGTTCAATACAACACATCTTACTGTTATCTGTGAAAAAATTCTGCAAGGTAAGTATCAGTATCATACCTTTTTCTTTCAGCTCCTTATAGGTCATTAATTTTGTGAGTAGAGGAAATGCTACCCATATTGCACAGACAAATGCTGAGGACACTCCTAGGTAAGTAAGTGAAGCCAATGAAATTGACCAAAAAACCACTGGTACGTCAAAGAAGATCTCTGCAAGGAACTGCTCATTTGTATGCTGGGAAAACAAAAACAAAACAATTTGAAAACATAAATTCATCTCGATTACTTTTGGGGGACAAATCCTCCAAATATTCTAAAGGCAGGCTAACAGTGCCAATATTTTTGTCTTTATTATTCCCTTTTTAATTAAATCTGTTTTAAAATGCTTTCATACTTTTGTGGTAGGAGTTAAGGTTCAATATTCACACTGACCAGTGGATAAGTTGACTTGGGGCTTTTGGGTCACTTTTTTGACTATAATTTCTAAACACATACATGAGAATATAAGGTAGCTCAACTGAACTTGCATATTTAAATCCATTTCACTCCTTTCAAAATAAAACATCACTGAACATGAGGAAGAACTTCCTGACTGTGAGAGCCGTTCAGCAGTGGAACTCTCTGCCCCGGAGTGTGGTGGAGGCTCCTTTTTTGGAAGCTTTTAAACAGAGGCTGGATGGCCATCTGTCAGGGGTGATTTGAATGCAATATTCCTGCTTCTTGGCAGGGGGTTGGATGGCCCACGAGGTCTCTCTCAACTCTTTGATTCTATGATTCTATAAGTATGTAAGTTCGGATGAGAACACATTTCCTGTGGTTTCTGTCATCCCATCCATCCAAAACAGAAAGCCAAATAGTCTGGAACTTTTAACCAACTATGGCTAAGCTAACGGTTACAACTGCATAAGGAACATAATAATAATAATCATAATCATAATCATAATTTTATTTCTTACCCGCCTCTCCTTGCAGCTTGAGGCGGGTTACAACACAATTTAAAAAACACAAAACATTTCAAGAATTCAACAAATATACATATTTCTATTAAAGATCCACAATAAAACTGTATTTCTATAACATACTTAGTAAAATACACAAAACAGATATTAAACAAAGGACATGAATTTAGTATTCATAGCTAAAAACTGTCTGGGTAGGCATGCTGGAAGAAATGTGTATTTCAATGGTTTTAAAATTCCGACAGCTGATCTAGCTGTCGTAGCTCTACTGGCAGGTCATTTCAGAGTCTTGGGGCGACCGACTAGAAGGTCCTCTGGGTGGTGGTCGCCAATCAGGTCTGGGAGGCTGGAACATATGATGAGAATCATGTGGTTCTCCATCTATTGCTAGGCTTCAGCTCCCACCAGCCTCAAAATAAAACAGGCAACAGTAAGGACTGTTGAGAGATGCAGTCAGCAACTTCTGAAGAGTTGTAAAATTTTCATCCTTCTGCAACTGAATCCAACCCCTTCCCATTATCATTGAACAAGAGTACAATTGAAAGTTATTGCATGGATAGCCAGTGCAATACAGCTATGAATTATGCACATTAAGTAGTTCAGGGAAGTTGTTCAATCATCCTATGGTACAGTAAGTGCTGTACATGGAAACAGGACTGCCAAATCCAGGTAAAGAATTCAGGTATCAACTGATGGAAATAGCATATATCAACTAGACAGAACAATAGGGTGACCCAATTCAAGGCATACACAATGAAAAATATATTTAAATATAACTATAGAGACAATTATTGAAATTTAATTAAAGATTCAGAACTTACTTTGTAATAAAATGTCTTGGCTAATGTATGTACAAGAATTATTTTTGCCAAAGCTGCCGATCCATAGAGGAAAACGGAGACATAGAAGTGGGTGTACCAGGAAAGAGAGCGCCCAATCAGAGAAATAAATATTGCCACAAAAAGGATGCCAAGAAACACTGCAAACCAACTAAAGACTGTGAAACCAAAGGCAATGGCAAGTTCCTTTATGTACATGAGTGCTGAAAAAGAAAGTAAAACACATAAAAGCAAAGATGACAATGTATTTCTTCAGCAAAAAATTCTACTATCTGGAACTGATAAGGCGACAGAATCCCAAATGATAACACTTTATTGCAATTTGGCAATGAAAATCAACTGTCTACACTAGAAAGATGGTGAACTTCATTAAAGTCCTTCTAGCTTTATGATTCTATGACTCGATTCTAAGTCACAATGCCTGACAAAATACTGTGGAGAAAGGAAATCAGAGCATTAGGTATGATACCTCTGCAAGAATGAAAATGGGGAATTCTGTATGCGGTAGTAAGTCTGAGCAAGCTGAATAATACTATTGGATTCAATCTAATGAGTACTCATATTAATATTTTTGTCCCACATCTCAGGGTTGTTGAAGTGCTTTCATGTAATGCACCAACAAAAAAAATCAATGTAAAAACTGACAGCTAATGAAAAGCATCATCATATAATAAAGTTATCTGAGAATTGGAATATGCCAAAGGACCAAGGCATTGTCAAACCTTCCTTCTATATTCTTATATATATAATTTTTATTAGAGTTTTCCATTACAAACATCTCAGAAGAGTCTGAGATATGAGGTGCATGGGGAGAGCAGATTGGATAGTGAGGAGATGACGGGGACGGGAAAGATTTGGGTGGGTGCCGGGTATGGGGGAGAGGTAGAATGGGAAGGAAAGATAGGTAGGTTAAAGTGGGGAAAGTGCAGAGTTAAAAAAGCTTGACTTCCTAATAGTCCGCCAGGGTTATTCCTCCATTTGAGTTTCTTTGCATTTCTTTTTCTTAGTCACTTCTTCTACCTTCTGTCCCAGCACTCTGGGGCAATATTTTTCTTTTCCTTCAAGAATGATTTCATTAGCCCCCAATCTGTCCTTTTTTTCTTGCTTTTATCGTACAGTAGATTGGCAAGTGTGTCCATATCCATTAGATCTCTGGTTTTTAACAGCCAGTCTTTAGTGGTTGGTAGTTCTTTCTTTTTCCACTTACTGGCCAGGACAGTCCTTGCTGCAGCTGTTAGCTGTTAGAAACCTTCCTTCTATAAATCTCATTCTATGAAAGGATCACAATATGTTGGAGTCCATTCGAAGGCACGAAACAATGAAAACACAGCAACTAAAGAGAAATACAGTACTATATTTGTGTAGCATGAACAAGCCCTAGATGTTTTAGTTCCCTTTTTAGATGCTGCCAAATGTAGCTTAAGTTTTTGTTCTTCTCACTCACTCTAGGTGCATCTATACTATAGAATTAATGTAGTTTGAAACTACTTTAACTGCCATGGAATTGTGAGAGTTGTAGTTTTGGTGACCTTTTCTACCAAACAACATCATACCAAACTATAAATCTCAAGATTCTATAGCACTAAGCCGTGGCAGTTAAAGTAGTGTCCAACTGCATTATTTCTATAGTGTAGAGGTAGTTTAAAACAAGGAAGCCACTTTATCTGTAGGCTGAGGGAGATGCATCTGCAGAAATTAAAGGCCCAGCCCTGATTGTACAAGGGACTCCTATCAGACTTCCATGGTCAGACAGCCATGAGTAGAAGTTTACTTACCTCTTTTTTTTGGCTGAAGAATTTTTTTTCCTAGATAAAGAATTGCGAGTGCAGTGATGGTGTAGTTCAAAATGGCACCAACACGAGCTGGGTAAGCCAGAACAAACATACCAAAGATATCAAAGAAAACAACATTCCCATGCCGATATTCATGAGATCTGGCCAGTTTATCTGATGTTGCTAAGTATTTGAGCACACCCAAAATATTGTCACCTTTGAAGGAAAAAAAAAACCATATGCATGTAGTTAATGATTTGCATTCACTCCAGAATTTTGCAGATATATAAACACAGTACATGACAGTGCAAAATAAATATTTAAGGAGTTTGGACCATATTAGAATACTGAATGTAACTTCTAAAGAAATACAATTTTTTTTAAAAGGATGAAACTACACTATAGAATTGCTGCAGTTTAATATCACTTTACCTGCCATGGCTGAATGCTAGTAATCCTGGATTTGTACTTTGCTGAGGCACCAGCACTCTTTGTAAAACTACAACTCCAATGATTCCACAGCATTGAGCCATGGCAGTTGAAGTGGCATCAAACTGCAGTAATTATACCGTGCAGATGCCAGACAGTGAACCTGGCCCAAGTATAGCTATTCTTCACAACAACACAAAATTACAAAAAGGCACAATTAAGAGCTGTTCTATTTAAAGTATAGTTACAAAAAATAGAGAATACAGAAAATATGTAGCCAGTGTAAAGTATACCAACCTGCCCTCTGAATAGAATCTGTCAGAATTCGGTCTGCTGTGTCAAATTTTGTGTGATAGATGTAACCATTTTCAATGAAAGCCAGGTCTATTCCTATTAATGCAATTCAATTCAATTCAGTTACATTACTACCCAATTACATACACATATTCCAAACATTTAACGAATTCAATGCTAGGCAAAACAAGCAAAAATATTATCAAATCACTTCTTATGTGCTGTTCTACTATAAAGTCATATTTGCTCCAACTTCATGAACTTTGGCTTTCTATCCCTTCCCACGCCAGGATACGATATTATATCTAGGAATCTATGACCTAATGTTGGTGGACAAACCAAATTACTAAGCCTTTCAATACATGCCAATGTCTTTGCTCAAGTTATCTCCTCATCTAATTCCCAATTATTCCACTGTTGTAACTTGTATTTTGTTTTGGACAGATTTTCCTACCTTGGTTGCAATACCGATTTCCTCCTATATATATATTTTTTTTATTGATTTATCACTTTATTACATACTATTACATTTTGTACATCAACCTCTTTAACATGTTATTTTATTATTTTACTCTGACATTTCTCTCCCTTTTTCTCATTTTTTTTCCCCCCTTTTTTCACCACAGTGCTCCCGTCCACCCATTTCAAGCCACCCTTCTTACATTTCATCTGTCCAAAATTTCATTTCTTCTTGTGACGGTAATTTTCCTTCCTTATTTTTTAATCCATTTACCACAAATCTTCCCCATACAGCATCAAAATCGCTTTGTTTCCATATACCTTTTTTAACCTTTAATATACATGTCAATTTATCGTTTATTGCTATTTTTCATGCTTCTTTATACCACTCCTCTATTTGTATATTCAT